CTTTTGATGTCTTAGTATCTTTCTAGTACAGTGAGCCTGGACGTGGACATCCTGGGATTGAAACAGCAGCTGAACAGAAGTCACGAGGGCCAGGCTTCTCAGGGTGTGCTTTACCTGCTGAACCACCCCAGGCAACGGTTCTGGGTTTGAAGCAAGAAAAGAGCAAAGAGGAGAACATGAACACCAGTTCTCCAGGAAGCTTTTGAGAAGCCCCATCTAACAACTGAGTTTACATTTTGCTTGGCAGACTAGGTTAAAAGGCCATAGGTATTAAGGAAACTGAGAATGTTTTTAGCTGAGCTCTAAACTATAGTAAGATTTTGTTGTTGTTAAGGAAAGGGGAGAATGGCTTTAGAGTAAGCAATTTGCAATCTGTTCCAGCAAGTAGTAGTGAAAATAGCTTACATTTCCATCTACAGCTAGAAAAATCCTTTGGTGTATATGATCACATTAATCTGCTTTCTTTCTCCAGCATATATTGAGGATTTCTCCAGTGTCAGGCGCAGTGACAAGCATTGGGATATCAGTGGCTCCCATATATCTCTACAGTTTTGTATTGCATAATGATGTTTCAGACAATGATAGATCACATATATCGCAACATATACCAGGTAGCCTAGGACACATTTCTCAGAAAGTGTCCCCATTGTATGTAATGCATGACTGTATTTGCTGTGTGTTGATACCACATTAACTGCTTTTGTATGTTACTTCATTTAATCTGCTATTGTGTAAATTATGTTTTCATTGCTATAACAAGATACCTGGGAAAAACAACTTAAAAGTAGGAAAGATTTATTTTGGCTCGAGGTTTTATTCTGTGGTCGGCTGACTCCATTGCTTTGAACTTGGGGTGAGGCAGAACATCATGGCAGCAGGAGCGTGGTAGTTGTATGATGGACAGGAATCAGGGAAAGAAACAGGAAGGGGCCAGGACAAGACACACCTTTTAGAGGCACACCCCCCCCATGACCCACTTCCTCCAACCAGGCCCCACCTCCTCATAGCACCCCCCCCCCCCCCCCCCCCGTCTGAACTCATCAATAGATTAACCCAAGATGCCCACTACTGATGAATGGATCAAGAAAATGTGGTACACATACACAGTGGATTTTTACTCAGCCATGAAGAAGAATGAAATCTTATCATTTGCAGGTAAATGGATGGAACTGGAGAACATCATTCTGAGCAAGGTCAGCTAAGCTCAGAAGACCAAAAATTGTATGTTCTCCCTCATATGCGGACTTTAGATCTAGAGCAAATGCAGCAGTGTGGTTGGGCTGGGATCACATGAAAGGGGGAGAGCACATACGGGTGATATAGAAACAGGTAGAAAACCCAAAACATGAAAGCGTTTGATGTCCCCACTCCAGAGGAACTAATACAGAAACTTTAAAGCAACAGAGGTTATCATGAGAAGGCAATTAGTAACCAGGGATCAGTTAGAGATGAATCAACATGGGTCATAACACGTGTACATGAAAGCAATGCTAGGAATATTTCTGTATAGCTATCCTCAACTAGCAAAAACACTTTGTCTTCCTTATTATGTTTGTGTCTTTTCTTCAACAAAATTAGTGATAAAGGCAGAATATGACCTGCCTGGAACTGAGTGGGAAAGAGGGGAGAGGGTGGGGGAGAGGGGCAGGGGAGAATAAATGAATAATAATAAAAACCCCCAAAACCCCAAAATACAATCAAATTTAAAAGAAAGATGTTAAAGTTTTTATGTCCTCATGACACCTAATGGTTATTTAGTTATTCTATGGGAAATCACTATACTGGTCTGTAATAAATTACAATAATCCTAATAACCCTATAAGTAGGTATTAATACTGTTTCCACTTTCCAAGTGAGGAAATGGAAGCTTGTCAAGTTCATACATGTCTGGAAACTGGAGCTTTTATAGAGTTTAGGTCTCAAAACATGATTTTAATTTTGTACATCCATAAATTGAGTGCTATTTGCCCATAAGAAGGAATGCAGTACTGACAACATGATCTAACATTGTTGAAACTTGAATATTATGCTAAGTGAAAGAAGCCAGTCATAAAAGACCATCTATTATATGATCTCATTTATCTGAAGCACCTGAATAGAAGAACCCATAGAGACAGAAAGTAGATTAGTGGTCGTTTATGGCTTTGGGGCAACACACTGAAACCTGTTGACTTGTATCCTTTATATGGTAAGTTGTGTAGAAGTGAATTGTATCACAATAAAGCTGTTATAAAAAAAATAGATTAACCCATTCATGAAGTTAGTGCTCTTATGATCCAGTCACCTCTTAGTGACTTGATCCACCAGCTGGTGCACAGGCCTTTGACACGTGAGCCTTCGGGGAACACTTCATATACAAACCTGGATATGAGAAACCTGATGTGAGATATCAGTCTCACATCATAAGTGTTACCCATCTCACTTTATAGGTACAGCAACTGAGAATCCATGAGAATGGTCATTATCATTTTTTCCTAGATTTGAAGATAGAACTTTAGAGCTTATGATGGCATAGGTAATATACTAGACTGCTTATTCAGACCTATGTTTTCTAGTTCTAAGCTTGGTACTTGCTTAATTCTTTGAATACAGCACATGTGTGCACACGCACACACACACACACACACACACACACACACACACACACACGCCACAGTAAAGCAGTAAGAAAGCATGATCTTTTGTTAGGTAATTCTGGGTCACAGACCTAGTTTGACCAGTTACGGTTTTATTACATTGTAGATCAGTTACTTAGCTTGCGTGTACTTCAGTTTTGTTGTTTGTAAACTGAGGTTAATGTAATCTGTCTTGAAGGATTTTTGTGAGGATTAAGTGGGAGTATAGATATTCAATAAATGGTAACTGTTACAGCATTATTGTTGTCTTCGTCATTATGGTTTAACACTGCATAGATTATTCTGCATAGATTGATAATACTGAAGAAATCATTTACTCCTACTTTAATTATTGAGGCTATTGATTAATCATAATATCCCTCTTTTGTGGTAGAATAATTTTTTCTGTCAGTTTTCTATAATGATGAAGTAGGGAAAAGTTGAACTTTTTGCCAGTTGTGTTTCTTGTAGTTTGACAACGGGGATAGACTGTATTTTGTTTCCTGTGTTAGTTTTCTATAGCTACCATAAGCTTGTCACAAGGTTGGTGGTTTAAAACAACCTAAATTTATTATCTTAACAGTTTAGAGGGTCAGAAGTCTGACATAGGTTTCAGGGCTAAAATCCAATGTTGACAGGTCTGTGTTCTTCTGTGTATCAAAGGGAGAATTAATTTCTTTGTTCTTTTCAGTTTCTAAAGTCTACCCACATTCCTTGGTTCATGGCCACCTTCCTCCATCATCTGCAGTCTTGCTGTTGTCATTACATCTTTCTCTGACTTCTTCTGCCTCCTCTTCTACCTTTTAAGGACCCTTATGATTACCTTTGTACATTAGAATAAAACGGGATAGTAATCTGCCATCTCAGGAGAGCTGAATAACATCTTAAATCTCTGTTGTCACATAATCTCAGATTCTGAGGATTTGGACATGGACATCTTTGAGGGACTACTATTGTCTACCATACTTCATATTTTCCCCAAAAGATTGAGCTCAGTTTTAGCTTCAACACTGAAAATCTTTGTATATTTGAATTCATAGGTTTTAGTGGGAAGAGAATAAGTATGACCTGGGTTTTCTTGGTGTAACTGTTGGAGGTTGTGAAGGATATAAGGAGAGTAAGGGGAAGGAGTAAAGATTCTGACCCTCCAGAGGTAGGGGACAGACTTGATGTCATTTGTTTGATTATTATATATCCTAGGGATTTTTTTGTCAAGTTTTTTTCTTATCTTTCCTCTTGTCCATGTCTTCTTTTTATACAAAGACAAAACATTTGTAGCAATTTGTGAATTCTGTTAGCATGTTTAATGATATAGTTGAGCTTCCTCATAGAGTTCCAAATTTGATAAAAATCAGAGCATAATCAAGTATTTGCAAAACTGAATTACTTAATTTCTTACTTGAATTTCTTACTTGAATTCATTTTTATGATTTTTTTTTTTGGTGGGACCAGGGTTTCATCTCAGGGCTTTGTGCTTTCAAAGCAGGTACTCTACTGCTTGAGTCACACCTCCAGGTCTATTTTGTTCTGGTTATTTTGTGTGAGGCGAACGTGATAACCACTACACTATGGAAACAACTTGTTCTGGTTATTTTGGAGATGGGATCTCAAGAACTTTTTGCCCAAGTTGGCCTTGAACTGTGATCCTTCAGTTCTCAACCTCCCAAGTAAATAGGATTATAGGCGTGAACTATCATTTTTATAATTTTTTACTTCTTACTGGCAGTATGGGTGTACTTTGGGAGGTCCTTTCCTTTGCAAGGCTCACTGTCCGAGGGCTGTCAGCACACAGTGAACATGATAACTACTCAGATGAGTGACTTCATGTGTGTGTGACTGATTGGGTAATTCCTGTAAGTAATGGAAGAGTCTTTAAAATGTTCCTTGTTATTTTTTTCCAATATATGATTGATTAATTAGCTAGTGGTTCTTTTTTACATATTCTAAAATAATTTGGTGAGATAGAATTAAAATGTATGTATGAGGACTTTTCAACATGCAGGGTAATCTTACTTGCTTATTTGAAGTAAAGTTAGATTTGTGTGTGTGTGGTGTGTGTGTGTGTGGTGTATTTGTTGCTAGGGATTGAACCCAGAATGGTGTGTGTGTGTGTGTGTGTGTGTGTGTGTGTGTGTGTGTGTATTTGTTGCTAGGGATTGAACCCAGAGTCTTGAGCGTACTAGGCAAGCAGTCTACCACTGCTGTACTTCTAATCCTCGACTGCTTTTTGAAGTGAAATTTGAATAGGTGTCATTTCTTACGCTTTTTCCAAATAGTTACTGCAGGTTTAAGTTTTGCAAATAACTCTTTCTTAAATATAACATTCCTTAAAAATGTTTCTGATTAAGGAAGGCCTGGCACTGATTTCCTTGTTTTCTCTTTTAGGAATGTTTTAAAGGAAGTTGGGCCACTCACAAGTTACTACATAAGAAAGCAAGTAAGTAAAATCACTTACCCTTTGACTTAGAAGTGGCTTTTGTGCTGGAAGATAGTAATCCTTTTAGTTTTGAACTTGGATGTTTGAATGTTCTGAAAGTATAACTTATTCTTTGACATGTAATCATGTAAGTAAAATGTATTTGAATAATTGTGTAAACCTTGTTTCACATATTTAATGTGAAAATATGAGGTTTTTGCTAGGATAGATGGATCTTGCTTGATTAATAGCATCAACCCTTTGGCACCCTCTTGTCTTTGCTAGAAGTGTGTGCATCTTGTAGGCAGAGGACTTCATTTAGTCAGATCCCTTTTGCTTTCTACATAAGTTATATGACAGCCAGCCCTTTTTATCCTGGAGTTCTGCATCTGTGAGTTCCACATCTATAGATTTGAGCATCTGTATTTGAAAACCATGTTCACCTACTTTTGAACAGATACAGATTTGTATCTTGTCATTATTCCCTAAACAATACAGCATATCAGCTATTCACATAGCATTTATATTATATTAGGCATTGTAAGTAATCTGAAGATGATTTAAAGTAAATAGGAAGACATGCATAGGGTGCCTGCAGACAGTATACAATTTTATATAAGTGATTGGAGTATCTTAGGGAGGTCCTGGAACAAATCCCCTGCGGGTACCAAAGGCTGTATGCACTTTGCTTTTTGGTATCTTAATGTTATTTCCTGCAGTCTAATGTTTAATTTTCTTTTTTTCTTAAAGTTTTTTTTTTTTTTTTGTGTGTGTGTGTGTGTGTGTGTACCAGAAAGTAAAATTATTAGCTACTTCTTAGCTATTCCTGTCAGCCACACTGATGTAGCTCTTTTCAAATATCCTTTCTGCTTCAGCTACTCTTCCTGTAAATTTATGTCATTAGTGTGGCTGACTTAAGACAGCCCATCACAATTACCTGGAAATTGACAAGAGCTTTCTGTTGTTATAGTACTGTCATCTGATTGGTGGAGGATTGGTGAATGGTTCTTGCTATAAGTTCTATGTTTTAACTTAATGATGTTGGTATCTTGTATTCATCTACCAGTGTCTTTATTGGGAGTTAGTTGATGTGACAAAATTTAGTAGATTGTTTTACCAAAGCAGATAGATATAGCTGAGTGAATCTACCTTTGAAGGAAAAGGAAATAAAAAATTAAAAAAGATGTATCTTCTGGTGGTATAAAGTGACATTGTATAATTAATGGAACTGAGGCTTTTGCTAGAGGAAGTGTCCTTAGGGTGAGGGTGATGACAGATGAAATGAAAGTTTGTCAAAGCATGAAAGACCCGATTTATTGATTTCGATTTGTCACCTCAAAGTGTAGAGGTTAGTTTAAGTAAGGTCATGGATGCTACTGCTTCTTATTACTGCATATGGTATTTCTAGTTGGGCATGTACCCTGAAAAACTCTGAGCCAGCCACTAACATTTTATACTTAGCAAGTGAAAGCACCAGGAAGCATAAAGCTTGAAGTTAAACAGTGTGTTAGTAAAGGAACTGATCTGTAACTCACTGATGCCTGCTTCATCAATACTAGATTTCTTTATTTTTTTAAAAGACCGGGTTTCCTATGTAACCAGACTGGCCTGAAATTGATTATGTAGCCCAGGTTGTCCTCTGAACTTTTGATCCCCACTATGCCCAGTTTCATTACTGTATTTCTAAGGGCACAGTTACTTTATTTTAACTTGCAACACAAGGGAATTAAACAACAGAGTTCCCTATGTAGAAAGAACATAATTTTTGGATTTAAACTATTTGAAGTTCACCTCTACTTTTGGTGTTTAATGTGGTGACATCTTTTAGGAGGTATTCTCTTGGATATTTTGGGGGTGGTTTTCTTCAATGGGCAAGTCTAATGTTCTCAATCCCCTAAACCTTTGGGCTGTGTTGGTTACAGATAGTCCTCAGCAAGCCAGATCTGTGTCTTTCACATTCTAACAAACTGACCCCAAGTATATGGTTGTGGGTAACAGTCCTAGAGGAGGGAATGATGTGGGGAAAGTGATCGATCTCCAGAGCCCAGGAGAATACGAGAAAGGCATTATGGGAAAAGAGTGTTGGAACGAGGGCATATTAAGAGATAGCACTTTATGCATTTGATTGCCAGGTGTGGTGGTGCATACCTGTAATCCCAATACTCAGGAGGCAGAGGCCGGAGAATTGCAAGTTTGAGGCCTGTCTGAGCTATATAGAAGATCCAGTCTCAAAAAAGTAAAAACTAAAAAGAAAGAGAGAGAGAGAAAACAAACAATAATGAGATAATGTTTTATCAAGTAGATCTTGTCATGAAGGTAATATCCTCAGGCTGTTTTTTTCTTTAAAGTGTAGTGTATGTTGATGTCTAAATAAAGATGCATGGGTTGTATCTATGCTCCTGTGGGATAATGGTCCATAATTTTGGTTTTAATGTCTTAGACTGGTTTAATATTGAAGAGAATTCTTATGTAAAATGGGAAATATTTCCTTTTTTTTTTTTTTCCTGGAAGGAATTATGTAGAATTGGTATTATTTCGTCCTGTTGTGATAGAATTCACAAGTGAAAAATCTGAGTCTGGAGTTTCGTTTTCTTAATGGTGAAAGCTTAATTTTTTGTGGAGGCCTTAGGAAAACTTCAAGTGTGAGTTAATTAAATGGCTCAGATGCACAGTTTATTTTTTATATATGACAGTGAAGAAGACCAGATTGTAAAGCTCTTAATTAAAGTCACATAATGGTGATCTTTGGGTACATAAGCTCCACTGCCTCTTCTGCAGAGTATACCTGGGTAGCATTTCCTTTTCATCTTATCTGTAAAAGTTGTAGCATTTCACATTACAAGACTATAGTATTTGTACTGGTTAATGATCAGTGACACATTCAGTGTGTTTCTTTGTCCCCCATTTTCCTGAAGTAAAAGATGGAAAAATTTGATAGTATCTTTTAAATAGCCAAAAATATGATTTAAAAAATTCTATTAGAAAAAAGAACCAATAATGCTTTTTCTTCCGTTCCCCTAACCCTCCACACTAAAGTGTTTAATTTTTTTGGATTGCATAGAGAAAGTTATGAAATGCTTCTGAATTGGGTTCATCAAACCTTTTTGACCCTGGATTCCTCTGAGCCTCCCTTCTAGAATATTGAAGCCATGGTTTGTCATGAGGACAAGATAAGCAAGTCCATGTCATCTCTGGAAGAATTGAGTCAGAATTTTGATCTGAAAATCCTGTTCCAGGCAAGGCTTAAACATGTACAATTATTTTATGTCAGCTGTCGGAGGCAGCCTGATGAAACCTTTTAAAGAATAAAGCCTGGGTGTGATACACTTTGGGACAAATCTTGCATGAATCAGATATACTTGCCACTCCTGTATCTTACTTGAGCCTGTTGCATTGTGAGGTTTGAAACACAGCTTACAGGAGTTTACTACAATGTCCTGTGCTTTCACGTTCATTTAAAAAAGACTAACTGTGGACTTAATTCAGATTTATTAAGGGGTCTGCTCTGTATCTAGCATAATCCTGAAGGATTCAGATCAGTTGACCCTGAAATGTACCCTAATTTAACTTTTCAAGTGTAAGTATGTTTTACTTATACTTCAAAAGTATGAATGAATTAAGAGATTAGATGAGAATTAGCCATATTTCAAACCATTGCTTAGGTAGCTTTTGGGTTATCTTATTTGTTTGAGGTCTGCTTTCACTTTTCTTTCCTCTTCTTCCTGCTTCCTCACCAAAAGTATGTTCAATCTAAAGCCTGAATCTTACATTGTTTGTTTGTTTTTGAGATAGGGTCTCACTCTGTAGCCCGGACTGGCCTCAGACTCTCCATCCTCCTGCTTCAGCATTCTGAATTCTGGGATTACAGGTATGCACCACCATATCCAGCAAAAGGCTTTTGATTGCTATTCTGTTCTAGGTTTCATGAAAAAATTATTTTTGAGGTTCATGTTTTTAAAATCACCTGGTGCATTTCATACCTAAAACAGGCCTCAGTTGGCTTGCATTCTGAACAGTTTTCTGTAATGGTTGACCCTAGTAGCAATTTTTGTCCTGGGGTGATAGTTTTTGTATTGTCATCAACATTCACAGTGGTGTTTTGAACTCCAGAGGGGAGAAAGATACTTAAAATTCAATAGCATAGTGAAACATTCTTTTCTCTTCCATTGTTTTTAAGATAATATAAATGTATTCTCTTCCAAAGTAGTGTGAATGGATTGGCTGTATTTTTGCATTCTTGTCACTTGTGCCTCAAGGGCCTTTCAACATGTAGGTGGCCTCATGTTCCTAGAGAGTACTGGTCTGGGAGATGCATGCTTTTATCACCGCCCATGTAAACACAGTATTCAGTTTCCTCATCTGTAAACTAAGGAAGTCAGGTTCTCTCTAAAACCTTTCTAGCTTAGCCTTGCATGATTCCATCCTCTCCTGAATTTTATATTTAATGCGTTTATATATTGTTTTTTATGATGCTGGGAATTGAAGCTAGGACCTCACGTAGCATTTCATGTTTTAATAGATTGTTTAAAAGAGGAATTTTAATTTTTCTCATATACTTCTAAAATTAGTTCAAAGTCTAAATTTCAAAACCCATGATAACTTGCCAGTAGTCAGAAAAGATGTACGTTGGTGGGGCACGGGCCAGTTCTTAGTCCAGGAGGGATTTGCGTCCTCACTGTTTAGAGTCCTAGCTTAGCAGTTTTATTTCACTTTGTGGACAAGATGTGTGCAGCCAGTGTGCCGACATCAGGTACCGCACAGGGTCTGTGCTATGTGAAGAGTATTCTTGGGTGCATTTTAGTAACCACAGCATTAAATATTAATAATTAACACAATAGTGTATTTGTTCAGTTTTCTAGTGAGTTTTAAGTAACTTTCAGCAAATTGCCCTTTGCCTCTTTCCTGCCTTCTTCTAGTCTCCCCTTCAGAAAACCAGGCAAATGATGGTCATTTTAAAATTTCGACTTCAAAGTCACTTACGAATTAAGTGGGAAATTACCATTTTTAATTTTAAGGGTTTCTTTTGGGGAACTGAAGAGCCTTTTCTTTTTTTGAGATAGGATCCCATTAGGTAGAGTGGGATGGCCTCTAATTTGTGATCCTCCTGCCTTATTCTGCTGGAATTAAAGGTGTGTGCCATCACAGTTGACTTCATATTTCATATCTTACAGTGAACTTCCTGTAAACGGACATTGTAGTGAGAACGTGTTTAGCATTGAGAAAAACAGTTCTATGAATGTTGCTATTCAATACTGTGTGCAAATGTGTAATATGTTTAGATCAGGTGATCCCTCCCCCCCCAAGAAATTTAGATCTTATTTGAGGACTTTTTGTGTGTGTGTATTACTGGGGTTTGAATTTAGGGCCTCACTTGAGCCACTGTGGCAGCCCTGTTTTGTGTTGGCTGTTTTCAAGATAGGGTCTTACTTTCATTTTTCCTGGGCTAGCTTTGAAGAGCGATCCTCCTGATCTTTGCTTCCTGAGTAGCTGTGATTATAGGCATGAGCCACTGGTGCCTGGCTAAGTTTTAAGTGACTTTGTTAGGGTAGGGTGGAAAGTTTTCTGTGTGAATTTTTGTGCCTGGACTGTCTGGCTTTCAGGTATGCTGCTTCTTAGGAGCTTGACTACTGAAGTATTCCTTTCTTTCTTCTCCCTGTTCTTCTGACATCTTCCATCCACTTACCTTCCAGAAGATGAAAAGGCAAAGCGAGAAGTGTCTTCCTGGACTGTAGAAGGCGACATTAACACTGACCCATGGGCAGGTTATCGATATACTGGTAAACTGAGACCACATTATCCACTGGTGAGTAAATGAAGTAATAAGAGTTTAACATTCTTTTAAACCTGTTTTCATTTCATACAAGTGGGCTTTTTTTTTTTCATTTTCTTTTTCTTATTTTTGGTGGCACTGCGTTTGAACTCAGGACTTTACACTTGCTAGACAGTTATGCTATACTTTAGCACTCAGCTAGTCCTTTTTGCTTTAGTTATTTTTCAGATATGGTCTCACTTTGGCCTGAGCCAGCCTTGGACTTTGGTCTTTCTGTCTTTGTTTGCTGAGTAACTGGAATCACAGATGCACATCACCACGCCTGGCTTGTTCTTACAGATAGAGTCTCACCAACTCTTTGCCTAGGTTGCCTAGCTGCCTCAAACTACAGTTCTTATTATCTCTGCCTCTTATTTTTTGGTCTCTTGAGACAGGGCCTCACTATGTAGCCCAGGCTGGTCTTGAACTTGAGATCCTCCTATCTCAGCCTTCTACGTGCTCGGATTTTAGGCATAAGCTACAACACCTGGTTTAAGAGTTTTAACATAGGAATTCACTTACATTGAAATCTGTTTGCTATTGTTAAATGTTTAAATTTTCTTTATTAAATAATACTTTTTGTAAAATACTGAATTCATCTTTAAGAGATTTTGAGAAATACTAATCCTTTCTTGCAGAGATAATGGCTAAGAACCTGTTGGCTGTATTTAGAGAGATTATTTTTGTTGTTGCTATTAGGTTGCCAGTTTGCTTGGAACAACACAGGCGCAGTGTGGTCTGCATCTAATCACGAGTTACTGATGCCTTGGCTACTCTTCCCCTTTCTTAAACACGCAGGGTTAGCACTGGGAATGTGATAGGTATCTATTACGGTATTTAAGGCATCAATTAAAACTTTCCTCATTTAAAAACTTTCACTTGAACATACTTTTCTAGTGTTCTCCCCAGTTTTATTTTCTTTACTGGTTAATAGGTTGTGACTATCCTCTCTGATGCTTTTAGATGCCAACAAGGCCAGTGCCAAGTTACATTCAAAGACCGGATTATGCTGATCACCCTTTAGGTAAGTTCTGCTAGGCTGTCTCCATTTGGCAGTGTGTGGGCTTGGTGGCGATTGTGAGAGAAAGGACTGCTGTTCTTAGAATGTTTTTAATGCTGGGCTTCTAATACACATATTGTTTTTAAGTCACATTAGTGTATTTAAGAGAATTAAAGATTCTTTCCCTTATTACAAATCTATCCAATTCTGTAAACATTGCTTATGTAGCTGCTATAAACATATATTCAGAATAATAACTGTATTTTGTATTGTTAAATGAACTTCTTGATGGAGAAAAAAGCAGTTCCGATTTTATCATGTCCTCTTACCTAAATTAAGGCAGATTGTGGAGGCCTGAGTGAATGTCTGACTAAATAATCTGCACTGTAGCAACGATAGAACTACTAGTAGTAATGGTGGTGATGTGGTAGTGATGGTGATGAGGATGATGATGACTTTATGATAGCATCTTGTGGGGAGCAGATTATAAGAAGCCTATGAGAACTTGACATGAGCACAGTTGTGCTCAATGATCTACAGGCTGAGTTTGGCACAGCCCCAGCCACAGAAGAGAGCAAGAAGGCAAAATGCAACACAGATGCTTTTCTTAAGTTGTTTATGTTAGGAGAAGAAGAGAGCAGGTTTCTCTTTTTATAAGTCACCCCCTTCCTGAGAACTGTTGCTTCACCTCCTTGTTTACCATTGGATATAAAAGACTCGTTGAAGGAGGACAGGGTTTTTTGATGGGGAGGATTGATGGAAGGGTTTTTGATGGGAGATTTTTTGATGGGGGATGGATTGATTGGTGACCTGCGAGGGGACTGCCGTAGAATGACGCTGCTGCTGCAGAGTTATGCTAGAAATTAGAGGAAACATGGGACAGTGCAAGTCTGAGGACTAAGACTTTAAGAAAGCTAAAGAGAAACATGGGACTGTGCGAGTCTAAGGAAAGAGACTTTAAAGAATAGAAAAGAATCAAGGTTTTAAAGAATTTTAAAGGAGAAAGGCCTGAAAGAATAGAGAAGAAAAGAAGCAATGAGGTTGTTGTGTGTCTCCATCTGAGCACCCAGTACACCTGGCCCCAACTTTCTTCATGTCTGTCTTCTATCATTCGTCCTTTCTGTATCTCCCGTTGCCCCCAGTTAGGTCAGCAGTAACAGAGCTCATGAGAAAGCTTTCTACAGCAACTGACACATAGTTTTGCTTAGCTATGTGTCAGGCACTGTGCTAAGTTCTTCCAACAGTTCTGAGATAGGTTCTGTTGTCTTCTTCCTGTTACAGATAATGGTAGACATGCAGAGAACGTAGGTAGTTTGGAACACAGGTCAGTGGAGTAGTCTCTGACCTTAAGCCTGACACAATAGTCCATTTTAAATTGGCCTATGTGAAATTACTGATTTTGCATGTTAAAAATGATTGAATATCAGCAATTTTCTGTGTTTTTAGAATTAATTACGCTATTGTTATTCTTATTTCTTTCTTTCTGTTTTTTTTTTTGAGATGTTAGGTATCTTAAGCTGGCTGACCTTGGGCTTGGGGTCCTCCTGCCTTTGTTTTCTAAGATATTGGAAAGGAGCCATGTTAAGTTCTTCTGTATATAATTTTTAAATTTAGTTAAAGCCATTGTTACAGATAAATTGAAAGAAAACACAGTATGAATGACAGAATACAGTTGAGGACGTCTTAATTTCATTCTCTGTTTAATATTTTAACTATAGTATTAACTTGTATTTTTAAAAATAGACATGGACAAGATAAATTCTAATAAAATGTTATGTAGTAAAAATTAAGTGTTGCTTCTTAGTGGTAATTACTATTACCCCATTTATGTACAAAAGAAACACAACATGCACACCTTTTACCTTGCCATATTTCTTAGTACATTAATAAATCTTGGAAATACTCCATAGGAGCCCATATAATGCTCATTTCTCTCATTTTGATGAAACTTCATTATGTGGCCGTATCATCTGTTAAACCAGGATCCTACTGGTGGACATTTCGATTATTTTCAGGTTTCTGCTTCTGTTACCTTGCTCATAGTCACTCTTCTTGTATTTACATCTTTGTCCACATGTGAGAGTATTTCTTGAAGTTAATTGCCTAAAAGTAAAATAGTTTGATCCAAGGAGAATATACATATGGATTTTGAGAGACATTACAAATTTCAGAGCTTTTTGCCAGTTGTTACTCCTGTTAAATACATACAGGATGGCTCTTCTCTTATATCTTCCTCAGCATTGTGTGTCACCAAGCTTTATGGTCTTTGTTAATCTCAAAGATGAAAAATGGTATTTTACTGGTATTTTAGTTTATAAATTACTAGGGTGAACATCTTTTCCTATGTTAAAAGTCATTTGAGTTTTCTTTCCTTTTGAATTGTCAGTTCATATCCTTAACCTTTTATTCCCTGTTAAATTGTAGTTTTTTTTTTTTCAATTGATTTATAAGTGTTCTTTCTAATGCATACCTTGATGAATGTGTTAAACATTTACTTTTTGGTCATTACATTTGTGACTTTCAGCATTCTCGCATAATAAAAGTTAATCCCGTATTATTACATCCAGTCCATATATGTGTGGGTCTATTCTTGATTTCTGTTCTGTTTCACTGACCCATTTGTCCAATCATGTCATTGCCAAACTTTTAGTTATTGTAGCTATTTTAATATTTGGTAGGCCTTGTCCTCACCTTTTCTCTTTTCAGAATTTTCCTGGCTATTTTCAAATGTTTGTTTTTCCATGTAAAACTTATAACCAGCTTGTGTTGGTTCCTAAAAATATGTTCTTGGCATTTTTTGTTGGGATGTTATTAAATTTATAGATTAATTTTGGAAGAATCAAAACCTTGACAATATTGAGTTTTCCTATCCTAGACCAGGGTATGTTTTTAAGTCTCCTTTTGTTTCAGTCATGTTTTTTAGATTTTCTTCCTGAAGTTCTTTCCTTCTTATGTTCATTCTGGGTACTTTTTGTTTTTAGTTATTTTGAGGATAGTATCTCTTGTAGTGTTTAGCTTAGTGTTTATATTGTAGGAAAGTTACTGATTTTGCTGTATTTACCTTATAATCTGCCACCGTGACAAGTTCTTGTTTCTATTCATTTATCTGATGAGTCTCTTGCTCTTGGTACGTGAAATTGACAAAGATTTTGTTCTTTACTTAAAAAAATGTTCTGTGTCTCATTTCTTTCTCTTGTTTATTACATCTGCTAGTTTTGACGGTGGGCATCCTGTCATGTTGCGTCTTGGTTTGAGATTTATATTTGCCATACTGACATGGTAGCTGACCACGTATAAGAGTCATTTTTCTAGATGATCACCTACTAATACTGAGCTATTCCTGCCTTCTGGTATGAATCTCACTTAAGTCATGGTGGTTCTATTTTTAAATTCTGTTAAGTAGTATTACATTTGGAATTTTTCTATCAGTGCTTAGAAACAAGATCACTTGGTTCATCATCTCATTTTTTAGATTTTGAAATAATTATTACACTACTTTTATTTCTTTTTGTATGTAAAACTTGAATTAGACTAATTTTATTAATGAAGATTACTAAGGCAGTGTTTTCAGACATTTTCTTCTGTGACCCAGAGTGATCTACGTATGTGTGTGTATAAATTAAAAATAAAACATTTCACAGCACTTAACTTTGGTGTGCAATGGAATCTTTCACTTTAAAATAAAATGTTAGTTATAGCCTACTAGAAAATTATAAACTATAGTTTGAAAAACAGTGACTTAGGTTGCTGTTTTCTGAAAGATAGTGTAATTGATTCATTGTTGGTAATTTGATGCTTGCCTCATAAATATGTAGATACTGCTTAAGATAATCATGAAAGCAGTTTGTAAATTGTGTGGTAATATCCAAGTTTGATTGTTTACTGAGCTTATTAACACACTGCCTTGCATATAAATAATCTATAAATATTGATTAATTTCTGATCTAAAAATTTCTTCTTTTGAATTCTTCCTTCAATTTGTTTAACAAAGTTCCTTTTCATTTTGAAAAATACTCTAAATAAACTAACTGGACCCTTCCAAAATGTGAAATAGCATGGTGTGAGATAGGGAGACTAGACTATTACTATCTACCAGTATTATAATTGGGCTCATAAATTCTGTATCTTTCCATTTGTTTTGGTTTTACTTACTTATTATCCATTCCAGGAATGTCTGAATCCGAACAGGCTCTTAAAGGTACTTCTCAAATTAAATTACTCTCCTCTGAAGATATTGAAGGGATGCGACTTGTATGTAGGGTAAGAGTTTTTTTTAAAGAGGTATTTTTTCCCCCATGGGGTAGAACATGTTTAAACAGTACTTAGATATAAATCAGTGATTTGCTAATTAAAAAGGTATCAAATGTTACATTGTAAGACTGTGCCTAGCCATACTTTAAAGTACTGTTAATAATATGTAATTGTATATAACAGTTGTTTCTACTTAAATAGCCTATTTGGAAGTTAGTATGCCAAGTAATCTGTATTTGATGGACAGTCTGTTTCTTTTACCTATGTTTACTTTTTAATGAGCTAGGTTTTTATGATATTTTGTCATTTTACTTTCACAAATGTCATAACACAGGACCAAGTTCAAGGCTCACACAGGGGTAGACTAAAGATCTGTGAAATACTCTGAAGTGTGGTGGTAATGAATGGTATTTATTAGGCAAAATCACATGCTTATATTTTCTAAAGGAAAATAATTGGAATACTGATACTCTTCATTCAGAAGTGATCCTTAAGGATTTCATGCAACACTTTAAAAGTGGTATGATACTAACTTTTTTTTTTTAATAATTAGGAGAACTTTATATGCCTTTCACTTATTTTGCTATGATTTCTTGAGGAAATTCATTCATCTACTCTTTTACTGTCCTCTACCTTTCCCCATTATAGAAATGTGAGAAGACTCAACCTGTATCAGTTGATTACATATACGTTTTCATGTACAAGTCATTCAAGCTTACTTGTTAGTAAATAAGCTTAAGCCCAATTTTAATATAAATTTGTAGTTTACATATTTACAATTTATGCTATAAGTTTGTAATGTTTCTATATTCTATATAAAAAATTTTGAAGGAGAAATTTTACTAATTTTCTGCTAAATCGAAGACAGTGCAGAGTACAGATTTCTTTCTTTTTGAATGTACTAAGTTTTCCTCTTTTACAGCTTGCTCGAGAAGTTTTGGATATTGCTGCTGGGATGATAAAACCAGGTGTAACTACTGAAGAAATAGATCATGCTGTACACTTAGTAAGAACTTCACTTTTTTATTTTGGAAAAAAAGTCACATTATTAGATGTTTCTGACTTAAGTTCTAAATGTCTAAAGTAACTTGGTTAAGCTGACTTCAAAGCAAGTTTTTGCTTTGCTTGAAATATAGAAAGCATTCAGCAACCATTATTCTATCTCCAAGTACAGTCTGCCTTGTGGATCTTGGGCATCTGTGGATTCAACCAAGCATGAATTGGAAATATTTGGGGAAAAACATTCCATCTGTACTGAAATGTATAGACTTTTTTTCCTCTTGTCATTGCTCTAAACAGTATAGTAACTATTTATATAGCACTTACACTGTAGTAGTATTATAAATGATGTAGAGATGATTTAAAGTATAGGGAAGATGCGTGTGTAGGTTACATGCAAACACTACAGTATTTTGAGTATCTACAGACTTTGGTATCCAACACTGAGGCGTGGGTCCTGGAATAAACCCCCCAGAGATGCTTAGGAATGACCATATCTGCGGTCCTGTATGGTGGTGCTAGTAAAATCCCCATTTAGGCCCATTTTATACATGAGGTCTGAGGTGAGCTTGAGGTACCTTGTTTCTGAAACCTCAGTATTTTGTGCAGCTTTTATACAATGATTAATGTTATTAGTGCTAAATAAGTCATGTTATTATACATTTCAAATATTCTGGAATAAAGAATACAACTTCTGCCTGCAATCCTAGCTGCTTGGGAGGCTGAGATTGAGAGGATCATGGTTCAAGGTCAACCAAGGCAAATTGTTCACAAAATCGCATCTCTAAAATAATGAGCAAAAATGGGCTGGAGGTGTGGCTTAAGTGGTAGAGTGCCTGCTTTGTAAATATAAAACCCAGAGTTCAAACCCCAGTACCACCAAAAAAAGAAAATAATAGTAATACAACTTTCAAAACTAGATTAGTAAAAATCAGTGTTTTCTTTCATATCCATAGTAACAAGACAATAAACAATATGATATAGGAATTTTTTTTTTTTTTTAAACAGGGGATCTCACTTGGGAGCTCAGGCTGTTCTGGAACTCATGACCCTTCTGTCTCTGCTTCCCAGCTGCTGCTGGGATAATAGGCCTGCACTACTGCACCTTTTTTTTGTTGTTGTTGTTGTTGTTTGTTTTTTAAAGAGAAACCTTAGGTCTTTCATAGATGAGTGCATATATTTTATGGCTAGATCATTCACAAAAGAAGAGTGTCAGCCAATTAAATCATAAGGAAAATGGATTAAACCTGTTCTGGTAATCAAACAAATGCAAATTATAAAGACCTAGTAAATTAGTATTTTAAAGATGTTTATGTCTATTACTTACATGGTGAGGATAAAACTGATACTCTGGCAACTCTTTTGCTTGGTATTGTTAATGGGGACAACCTATCTGAACAATTTTGAAATTATGTCTTAAACTGCAAAAATGTTATAATTTTTTAAATTCAGAGTTTTATAAGTCTTGATTTGGGGGTATTAGTATAAAATGTGTGTTAGTATAAAATGTCGAGTATGTAGTAAGCATTTTGAGTGTTTGCTACGGCTAGGTGTTCTTTCCAGTGCTTCTTTCACTGGATTAGATTTGTTGATTTAATGCCTCCAACAGTCTCTTGAGATAGGTGCTAGTATTGTTTGCATTTTTGACAAGAGAACTGAGGAGGAGAGATGTTAATTGTCTGGTGTCATGCAAATTGTAAGTGAAGGAGTTGGTGTTTGCAGTCAAGACAGCCTGGTTCTCTGCTATTTATATGCTGAGAAGTATAGAAGTATATTCTAGATAAGGGAGAACCACAGGAATGTAGTTATTGGTAATAAGATTTTTATTAATTGAGGAAACTTCAGATTAAGATTTCTACTAATAGTGAAGTTGCTAGTAAAAGTACGTATAGTTCACAAATAGTGTTTTATGCAGCCTTTAGAAAATTATTGACCTGAAGACTGCAACACCATGGAGACGGAGATTACATGTGCTGTGATTACCACTGTGTGAAAGCATCCAAGTAGAGTCAGCCTTGTTACGGAAACCAGACCATTTTTTTAGGACTCCCTTTGTTGTTTCACTGAGTATAGTGATTAAATGTCTCAAGAAGTAATCTATCATTCCTTAATTATGCTAGTATTCAGTTTTTGGTTACAGGGATATAGGCTTATTTTTATAGAAGAAATTATAATTACATTAAAAGTGCTTATTATTTACTTTAAATATTATCTTTTTTACTTAATGTCTTTTACAAGGAGTATAGTTAATTGTAAGCAGAATCTTTAAGCCAGGTATGGTGATTCATACCCTTAATCCCAACACATTTTTTTTTTCCTTTGGTGGCACTGGTGTTTAAACTCAGGGCCTTACACTTGCTAGACAGGTGCTGGTACCACTTGAGCCACTCCATCAGCCCTAATCCCAGCACTTGGGAGGCTGAGGCAGGAGGGTGCCAAGTTTGAGGCCAGCTTGGGCTGCATAGCAAAACCCTGTCTCAAGAAAATGGGGGTGGAGGGGAGAATCTTCATATTTGTTTATATTTGTAGTATGTGAATTTGCTTTTTCTTTGCTTAAATACCAGCAAACTAGTTTGCAATACAGTGTTATCTGACTGGCATTAACCCTGTTGTATACTGTTGTAAGATCTACCAGCCAGGCATGGTGGCATATGCCTATAGTCCAAGCTTTTTGGGAGGCTGAGGCAGGAGACTCACCTGAGCCCGTAATTGAATACTGGCCTGGGCAAGATAGTGAGACCATTTCTTGGGGACAGTCTTCTTTCACTCTCTCTTTTCATATATATATATGTATATATGTGTATATATATGTATATATGTGTGTGTATATATATATATATATATATATACACATACACATGCATATATATATTAAAATACTCAATAACTTCTTTATAATAGCATTTGTCAAACTTTAAAATTCTGATTCATTGCATACAGGTTTTTTTTCCTTTTGCACATTTCAGATTGTTTTCTTTGTATTTTAATTTATTATAGGCATGCATTGCAAGAAATTGTTATCCTTCTCCCCTGAATTATTATAATTTTCCAAAGTCTTGTTGTACCTCAGTGAATGAAGTCATCTGCCATGGAATTCCAGACAGACGGCCTTTGCAAGAAGGTGATATTGTTAATGGTAAGAAATATGTAAGTGTGACTTTTGTCACCGTAAACAAAGAAAACCAAGAGGTTTTGGGAATCTGTTAGTGACTTCCCTTTTCTTCACTTGCTTCCTAAACTTAGGATTTTTTCTGTTTGAAACTTAGCATCACTCTAAAATCTGTGGAAATCTCTTTTTTAAATGGCTGTGTGCTGCTTTTAAGGTACATCTAGTATGACCTTACAGCATGTGTTTCTTTACCACTTATCTCATATATCATTGGTAAATAGGTGAAAAGATGTTCATGAAATGTGACAGTGTTATTGAATCTAGTGGAGCTTTTTTAAGTCCACTAATGATTTTGAAGAGATAAGGGCAGGCTTTCTTAACAGATAAGAGAAACCCTTAGCAATATATGAAGACCTTAATAAAAAAGCTAAAAATCTCACATAATTGAATGGAGTGACTTTAAAGACTTCTATACTGTGCTGTCTTAGAAGTTGCATGTGTAGAGGAGAAACTGCAAAAGCATTTCCCTCTGGGGTTGAAAAACAGTACTGATGAATAAGGTTCCACTAGAATGGTATTTTGAATATTGTTGAAATTAGTCTTTTTAGAATTTTTGTTGTTGTTGAGACTGGGGTTTGAACTCTGGACTTCATACTTGCAGAGCAGGTGCTCTACCACTTGAGCCACACCTGCAGCCCATTTTGCTCTGGTTATTTTGGGTATGGGGGTCTAGTGAATCCCACGTGGCTGGGATTATACACATGAGCCACTGTTTCCTGAGTTTTTTTTAGGATTGTAAAGGAATCCAAGGAAGCATGAGTTCAAGTGCTAAAGAATGCACAGAATGGACCAAATGTGATGCTGGCTGTGAATGATAGTAGAGAGTTAACTGTAATGCCATTTTTATTGTAGTTGGTACTGCTTTAGTTAGGGTGTCTGTAGCGTTCCATAAGTTATGAGGCCAATCCTGTTTTTCATACAAACCTTGTTTTTTTTTTTATTTTATGTGTAGTATGTATGTTGTGCTAGAGCCAAAACACCTGGACTGCATTGTTGTAAGTTGATAGACGTCCATGGTCTAAAAATATTCATTTAACATGTTCTCTAGATAGGCATTTAGTGTTTTGTAGTGACACACCAGTAATACATGGGAACAAAGAGAAGGATGAATGTTCACAAATAAATGAAAGCAAATGAGGTTTTAAAAAATAAATGTGGAGCAGTGTAAATTTTTTTGTAATTCCCTAGAAGGAGGAAAAAGTTTGTTAAAGATAGAAAGTGAAAAGTAGTAATTTTCTATTTAATGTCAAAATGTAGTAAAGTCCTGAATTTAATGAATTTAATGTTAATAACCCTGGTTACTTATCTTGCATGATTGTATCCTGAATGAGTTTTTTTTTTTTTTTTTTTGCGGTACTGTGGTTTGAACTCATGGCATCACGCTTGTTAGGCAGGTGCTCTATCACTTGAGCCATTTCACCAGCCCCTGAATAAGTTAAGTTTTTCTTCTGCCACAAAAGATCTATTTACTCTGAGTCTAAAACACTACCATCCATCTTGTTTTGTATGGCCATATTTCTTTTCTCCACTTCTGTTAGGCGGTAACTGTATATCCACTGTGTCTAATTTGAGAATGGGGAAATTCTCTTTTTCATTAAGTTGCTTGATGTTGTTATGTTGAAAAAAACTTAAGTTCTATTTTGAAATGAAAATAGATGTGGTCTTCATATTTGCACTTTGTTTTGCAGTGGACATCACTCTTTATCGCAATGGTTATCACGGGGACCTGAATGAGACGTTTTTTGTTGGAGATGTGGATGAAGGAGCACGGAAACTAGTGCAGACCACATATGAGTGCCTGATGCAAGCCATCGATGCAGGTCAGTCTCAGGGCTGGACCCCCCTTGGTGCTTTTGGGCACTGATGGACTGTCAGTCATAGTGACAGCTGCTGTGCGCCTGTCCCTATCAGCTTTGTCTCTTCCTTCTCTGAATTAGCTTTAGATTTTAGCAGTTAATGGGTATAGAGATGATTTGGGAATCCCTTAATGGGGTGGTCCAGATGATTGCTTAGCATCCTCTGTCTTCCGTTTCTTTGCCTATTACATGAGGAGTGTGTGGTTGATTCTTCAGACAATTTTTTATTCCACATTTTTATTTGTTCAACTACGCAAGCAGTATGTTCTCATTATAGATAATAAAAACAAGATTGAAGATTTTGAGAGAAAAAGGAATGTTTCTCCCTTACGTTTGCCTGCCTTCTTTGCTTTTCATCTCACTTCTTGCTAGAGGTATCATTGTTAACATTTACATTTTTTTCTCTTATGCTCTAAGGCTCACACAGTTATGTGTATGTTTAATTAGATTAGGCAGAATCATAGTATTTATAATATTCTGTAATTTGTATTTTTTCACTAGTATCTTAGACATCTTTCCAGATTAGCATATGTATCTGCATACTTAGATCTACCTCTGTCTTTTTGTTTAGTTTTATCTTTCCTTTTGCTGTTTTGGGGACTGAACCTAGGGCTTCATATTCTGGGCATTTGCTCTAGCACTATGCTACCTCCCCAGTCCCTGCCTTATTCTTTTAATGAATGTGTATTACAGTATTAATATTTTTCTAACTTTTACCCTACTGGATTTTGGTAGTTTCCAGGTTTCTAACTAGGTCAGTATTACATAGAGGCACAAGTATCTCTGTAGGAATTTTCTCAGGCTGTCTTTGTTCATACAGATTATCCAGCCTTTTCTGTTTACTCAGTACCTTATAGGGATGGGAAAAAAGGAAAGGCTCATTGTAGTTGTTAACAGATTACTAATGAAAGAAGAGTTTGAGGGCAGTCAGTTTTCCAATAAGATCCATATCATTTGACTTTTATTATCCAGTGTGTTATCTCTGCCACCATCCTCCAGTCCCCCCAAATACTTTGACATATTATGAACAGAATATTGAAAGGGTAGAATTCGTTGTCAAATCCATACTTATCTCTAATAACATTGATATATTATTTTCATAGTTTTTAGTTCATTTTAAAGTGAGTGAGATATTTTTACTAATTTATATAAAGTTGGATTAGTGAAAATAACATCAATATGTGAATTTTTTGTTTTTACTGATTCACTGTTGATTATTTGAAAACTTTAATATTCTAGGAATTATTCTGAGATAAGAACTTTAGTGTTTATCCTCATTGTGTTTTAAATGACTTTAAGGGTTTCTGTCAGATAATATGTTCAATGCTGCTATCCTTTTTGCTTCTCTGTGAGTTGATTGAAATAACCAGACAACTGGGTGTTGTTTTACAAAGGCACATGACTAGCACTTGCTAAGAAGCTGCCAGAAGCTAGAGTCTTCATAGTAGTAGTCAGGAAAGAATAAAAGTTGTTTGAACTCTGGAAAGTGCTGTTGAGACCACTGTGTATGTCATTCTTGTCCCTTCCTTTCCATAGCTTAAAAATACTCATTTAATGTATTCTTCACCTTGGTATAAAGCACTAGATAGTTAGAAAAAGTTGAAGTTAACGTTCTAGAGTAAGATTTTTGAATGCACACATTAATGGCATTTTGGGCCTGGTAATTTCTTAGAGGGCACTGCCCTGAGTATTGTAAGACACTTAGCTGTATATCTGGTGCCTATACAATAGATGGCAAAGTGATGACCAGAAATGTCTCCCTTGGGATCGAAGTTGTCTCTGATTTGACAATTAGGGAAGAATCTCCTCTACCACCCTCTGTCCTTATTGTTGAATGGGAGTTATGCAGCGTGGCATATTGTGTATTCACCCTCTTCCCCCAACCCAAGGCTGATAGGAAGCCTGGATATGAACAGAAGAAAATTATTATGAAAGTCAGCACAATTCCTCAAAATTGGACACTTTTCCCTCCTGCCAAAAACGTGAAACTGGAACACATGGTTTAGGGCAAGTGAAAATATTAATTAAAATATAATTCCTTGATTGGATGGGGAAGATAGGGACCCCCTGGGGGAAGGTTGTACTTGAACCTCTGGCACAATCAGATAGATTGAGTAAGAGACTGCAGGGAGTTAGAGGACTTCCAGAATCATGATTCCATTGTTTAGGAGTCTGGCCAATGTCTGTGGGCAGGTCATCTCCTAGGGTCTTAGTGCCAGGACAACCTTAACAGCAGTGAGAACCTCTTTTTTGGTTTCGGTTTTAGTCAGAACAGTTCTAGCAGTTATAATCAAATAGCACTAAGTATATAGTGAAAAATACCATTCTATATGCTAGAACCTTTTGCAGAGGCAACTACGCATAGTTGGAGAACCATTATAGGAGTAAAGACGCTCAGAGGGAGTAATTCTTTCAGAAGTTGACCAGACTGAAACTTGGGAGAAGTCAAGTGGCTTTTGTCCTGGTACACTTTAATCTCTCATCTTTTCTGCTTGTGTTAGTGGGACAGAATGGAATAGAATACGTGACGTTAGGGAATGATTTGAGGACAAATGTATTTTCCATTTGTTGTTTAGTATCTGTTCTTAGGTGCTTGTCCCCGTTCCCTTAATACTGCAAGGTGTCTATCCTCCTTTTCTTACATTGAAAGATAAGTTGCTGGTTTGAATCACTGCTTTGCCATTTACTGGCTGTGTGGCCTCTCTGTGCCTCAGTTTCCTCATCTTTAAATTCAGATGTGAAGGCACATGGGTCTTTGGCACATAGTTTTTAATTAATTGTTTAGTAAGTCTTGCTCATTGTTCTGACTCTTTTTCTCTTTCAGTGAAACCTGGTGTTCGATACAGAGAACTGGGAAACATTATTCAGAAGCATGCCCAAGCCAGTGGATTTTCAGTTGTTCGAAGCTATTGTGGGCATGGAATCCACAAGCTTTTTCATACAGCCCCCAATGTGCCTCACTATGCCAGTAAGTACTATCCAGAGATTTGATTATGACTGTTTATTAAACTAATATTCAAACATAAAAGGATCTTCTATTTTGTATTCCTTAGAGTAATATATTAACTAACACCAAGATCCCCAAAATGTGTACTTGTTCAAACACAAATCAAGTTCAGGTCTCCATAGTCCAAAGTAGGTGTTTGGTCACTGCGGGGTGAGGTGGTTAATCTGTGAGTCAGGCTCTGTCCTTTTCAACCTGTGGCTTTCAGGTAATCTTGGGAGTTTCCTCCTAGCTTGCAGATAGTACAGAGGAAGGGCAGAAGCATGGAGAGTTATGCTTGGGAGTTTTAATGAACCAGCCTTGCAACTGGTGTAAATCACTTATGTTTGTTTTCTAATGGCAGGAATTCGGTCACGTAATTATGTGTAACTGCAAGGGAGGTTGGGAAATGTAATCTAGCTGAGTGCTCTGGAAGAAAAGTAAACTAATTTTGGCAAACAGTCAATAGTCTGCCATAGGTCTTGCCATCACTGTCCTGATTCCTTGGGTCAGTTCATCTGGTTTGATGTGACTTCTTAGCACATGTCAGATACTATATTATTTATTGGTATACATAGAGGGTAGTGAACAAAGTACTTTTCCTCAAGTTGAAAGTTGTGTGTTGGAATAACAAATGAAGTGTAAGAATTAATGTGTTCCAGAAACCATTTCTTTAAGCAATCAGGCACGTGCAGGAACAAGTCTGTTATTTATTGTCTAAAGTGAAAGATACTTACCATAAGTGACCTAGGGAGGAATTTCACTCATGTGTGCACGCGCACACACACACACGCACATATGCGCGCACACACTTTGAGCAACTGCTTTGTTAACACTGTCAATGGTCAGTCATCTCCTTGTGTGAAGCTTATCTGAGTGTTTGTGTTTTGGGCTAGCAGTAGGTATTGCCAGATGCGAAGAAGGCCATTCTGAAATAGTCTGACTTCATCCATGGGAGTCTTCAGAAACATTTTGGAACAGAAGAGTGTCATGATGAAGCTGATAGTTTGGGAGGACTAATTTGTCATGATGTTTAGCATATATTGCAGGTGGAAGCTATTTAGGATCGTTGGCCTGTTGGGCATTTGTTGCTGTAGTCCAGGTATGAGGTGGTAAAATCCTAGACATGGACAGTTGTGAAGAGAAAGTGAAATGAGTGAGAAACCTCTCGACAAAAGAAGTTGAGCAGCCTCTATAGCACAGTACCTGATGTGTATCAATAAGCACTCACTAGCAGACCACATCATTCTGTGAATCATGCTTTAAACAAAACTAGCAACAGAAAACAAGTAGCTCACTTCATTCCTGTCTGTTAATCCTTGTGATGACCTGAATATTCCCTTTCACAGAGTGAAAGTAGCTGTCTTCATTACTGTGTGTGTGTGTGTGTGCGTGTGTGTGTGTAACAAAATGTTTAGGGGAAGGAATGAGAAACATTCCATCACAGAACTGGTTTTGGGATGGATTAGAGAGAGGGAGAGATACTAAACAACTAAAAGAGGATAGGTCAGTGGTGGTGGCATCACAAAATTTGGTGCCACTGGTATACAAGAGATACCACCTGAGTTTCATATTGAAGAATTTAGTTACACATGAAAAACAGTGCTGCAAAAAGAAGCAACGACCAGATGCTTGTCGTTGTATAATACTTCGTCTTATACATTTGACATATTTATGAAAAATCAAGTGTAAATTTAGTTTATATAAAAAAGGTATATTGTGATCACTTAGGAAAGTGTGAAAGGTAGCTGCCGAGGGTTTCTTTTTTTTTGGTATGGCAGAGATACTTTTTGAAATATAAGTAATCTCTGCTTTGATTTTTAACTATATTCTTAATCCAAATGAAGGAGGAACTAGGAAATTGTTGAATAACATCCTTTCCACTTTTTCTAATGTGAGAAGTTCTTATTAGGTGAGTTTATTTGCTTCTAATTTAAGTCATTAATAATGAAAATAATGATATTAATACCCTGCATTTATAGTATACATTATAATAATTCTGTGAGATAGATGATAGAATTATTATCTATTAATAATAAATAATAATAATTATTGTTATTGGCGCAAATTCTTAAAAAGTACCTTCTGCAATAGTAATAGTCCCTCAGGCAATTCAATATGTTGAGAAACTAAAACTTTGAAGATTGTGAGAAATGAGTTGTAACTCTTCTAGAATGATCAATCAGTGGCAGAAACAGGAGTGGAATGTAGATTTTCTACCCAGTAGGCTCACAGGTAGCTTAAATTTCTAGTAGCTACATTAAAAAAGTAAAATGTAAGAAATACAGTTATTTTATTTAACCCATTACACCCAAAATTTTAACAATCAGTATAAAAATTTATTGAGCTATATAATCACATGCTGTTTTGTTTTTTGAAATTTGCAGTATTTTACACTGAAAGCCCATCAGTTCTGCTGAGCCATTTTCAACTGCTTACTAGCTGCATGTGGCTGGTGTTACAGTGCTGCTGTATTGGACAGCACAGCTCTAGAGTTTTTTTTTTCCTCAAGACATTTCTTTTTGGTATCCCCAAGGGAATATAGACTTATTCTTGTTTTTGCAATAAGTTACATATCATTTTGAGAGAAAGTTTCTGAGATTACAAATGGAAACTCTAATATATTCATTTTTTGCTCTTGGGGGTCGGGGTCCATGTGAGATTAGATACTAGCTTTGGAATGTGCAGTGAGTATGTCTTGGTAAAAGCTAAGATGGAGGAAGGCAGCAGGATGGCTGGACCTCAGGAAAGGTGCAGGAATGTGTATGTGTGGGTGAGGTTCCACCATACCCAGGAAGAGTAGTGGTTAGTGATGAGCCTCAGAAGACATTTCACCATTCATGGAGTCAGGTCCCGACTGCCTGCCAGCACCTCTTGGAAATGCTTATGTGTTTGCCATCTGGTGGTGAAACTGAACAGTGCTGCATTCATTTAGCTGATAACTAAAAATGGAATCAGTTCTTGTCCTTTCATTTTGAAATTTAAAGTAGCTCTACATTTTTGTCTAAGATTGCCTAAAAAGACTTATTCCTATTTTAATTTTTTTGGCCCTTTTTGGAGGGATGTAGGTCTGTACACTTTAATTCATGATTGTCTTTTGATGGTCCTATAAATACTCTCATACTAGTGAAATTGGACACAAAACCTAAAAAACAGTATTTGGAGGAAAAAATGCAATTTGTTTTCAAATAGAAAGGAATTCCTCTTCAGCATTTAAGAAAAGAGGCTTGTGTGCACAGGCTTTATTCCCATTTAAGAAGGAGAGAGAGATAACTTGAAAAGCTTTATGAAAGTTGTATATTTGTTTCTAGAGGCTCTGTCCCTATACACAAACACACTCCCTTCACCCAGAGAGGTGGGAGACTTATGGCATATGAAATACTTGTCATTCAGACTTCTTCTCTACATGGACAGGTGATGGCGATCTGCTTGGTTTTGTCATTGCATTTCTGATCTGCAGTAGAATAAATCATGGCACTTTTCCTTTTATTGAAGTGATAATCATATCTGGAACCCAGCCTATATCTCTAAATCTCTGTATTTTCATGTAGAAAACATAAGCAGAATGCAGTGTGCCTAGAATAATATCTGACCCAAAATAGGAGGCTGCCTGTATATTACTGTTTATTGAATGGCATACTTTAAGAGAATCAGAAGATAATTACGATCACTGATGGGAATGTAAGTTGCTCCATACTGTCTTTTGTGAGCTATTCAACAATATGCAGTTGGCTTTTGCTATTTTTTGACACTTTTTTCCTTTAATTTCAGAAAATAAAGCAGTTGGAGTGATGAAGTCAGGCCACGTATTTACAATTGAGCCAATGATTTGTGAAGGTGAGAAAAAAAAATGATGCCGTAACATTTTTTGAGTTTTTATTTGTTTTTGGTTACTCACCAAAACAGTTTAATTCTGCTTGCTTCCTTTTGCTTCAGTCCTCCCTGAGAACGGAACATTGTAAGGGTTGCCAAGAAGTTGGTGACTTTCCACGTAGTAATTGTCCTGGCTGTCGTTTTGCTGAGGCACTTGCATGCTGATCCCTCTTCATAAAGATCTTGTCAGAGGGTGCAGTGTCATAATTAGGAGCCTGCATCAAGCCTGTGTAGAAATTCTTGCTTGATGTGGGAGGGGTAAGACGAGGAATGAACGCAGGGAGTGTTTGTTGAGCCATCCGTTTTGAGGCAGGCAGAGTTAAGATTTAACTCTCCACAGTTTATGAGGAAGGTGTTAACCCCATTACACAGAGGAGCAAATTGATCCTCTAATAGGGTAAGTTGCTCAAGTCACTTAGCTGCTTATGAGGCAGAATTTGTTAACTCTCAACTCAGAGCCACGCACTGTTGTCCTGTGGCATCACGCGTTGTGAGAAAGCATAGCACAGGTATACATAGCTTGGGCAGCCATTCTGTCTCCATGTTCTGATTCCCTGTGACAAGCTACGGTGGTGGCTTTGGTGTTATCAGTAGGGCTCATCACTGAGGGTGTGAGAGTGATTTTCAAATAATAATTGGGCTGTGCATTTTTCTAGTTCTTTGTTGGGTTTAGTGAGGCAGAACTAAGAGCCTTTTTTTAAATTTGAGATAAGGTCTTCCTGTGTAGCCCAGGCTGGTCTTGAACTTGCAGTGATCCTCCTGCCTCTGTCTCCCGAATGCTGGGATTACAGGTGTGTGCCACCATGCCCAACCTGATCCTTCAGTTAAAGGATCCTTCTTCTCTGAGTTCTTCTGGTCTTTTTCTAACCTAATCTAGGGAGTGACTTCCATATTCTCTTACAAGTGAGCCACTAAATCCAGCCCACACCAAGGGAGGAGGGTTCACACAAGAATGAGATACTGGAAGGTGGGTATTATTGGAGGTCATTTGAAAGCTGCCTTTTTTTTTTTTTGGTGGTACTGGAATTTGAACTCAGGGCATCATGGTTGCTAGGCAGGCACTCTGCCACTTGAGAACCTGATTTTCACTGCTTTTTCTGTAAAATGAAAACTAATCCTCATCTTGTCAACACCCTAGGGATGCTATGAGGAGTGCTGATTTATATTACATAAAGTACCCTGTGTGCTGTAAGCACTGCACACATGTAAACGAGTATTTTTGTATTCTTTGTGAAATAAGAAAGTTCTGGTTATGAGCGCTCAGTTGTAAAGTGAAAGGAAAAAACAGAGAAGTATTGTGAATTATTGTGGTCACATATTTTCATTAACTGGCATCTGGCTATTGAAGTATAATGAAGTATTTCCAGGAGTAAGCAAACTGTTTTCTATAGAGCTGATTCAAATTGTCATCAAATTATAACAGATATACTTCAGGGTAGCTCAACTAGGTTAAATGTCAGTACTGGAATGGAAAATTTCAAATCCAAAGAGAAATTTCCTCAGACTAGTAGTCAGATACATTTGAATTGACATTCTATGAACTTGATTTATCAGGTCACTGTAAAATCAAGTAGTAATATGTCTTAAATCGATTTTATGTAAAGCTCATTGCACTGAAAAATACATTGATCTTTTGGTGTTTGATGAATCATGAGCTAACTTTTTTTAAGCTGTTTTATATTTTTTTAGCCTGGGATTTACATTACAAAAGTAGGTTACACTTCACTATGAAGTTTATATTCTGGTATTTGTCTCTTTGAGTGTGTGAAGCCCAGAAGTAATATGTTTCACCTAAGATTACTCAAAATGGAAAACATACTCATTTTTTTTTTTTTTGCCTCTAACTTTTAAAAAACAAAGTCTGTGAATACGTATTTTTATTGTAGTACCCAGACTTGCCTAACTCTGCCTCAGATTCTCTTGGGCTTTCCCTCCATCCTATCCTCAAGTGGTCTGTGCTCATCTTCTACCCTCTCCAGTTACCTTCACTCCTTTTCTCTACTTCATTCTGCCTCATCAGATTTTTCTTAGCCTTGTGACAATCCTTATTTCTTTCCGATTGCAGGGATATTGTGCACAAAAACTCCACAGTATAATCTGTTGCCAATATCTGACTGTGTGCCTGCTATTTAAAAAGCCTATCAGGAGTTATATGAATAATTAAAGTACAAATGTTTTCATTATTTCTTTCATCATGTACACTAGCTATAGTTTAGTCAGATGCCAAAGTTATACCAAGAAAGACCTACATTTATTAAAGTTTTTACTTATATTTCTTTGATGAGTTGTATCAATTTGTTTTCTTAAAATGAAATCCAGTGCCTTTATTTTGGAAATAAATCTTGATTTGATATTGGGAAATACAAAAAATGTACAGTTGTAATACATGAAGAAGTTTAAACATCATTACTTGATTGATATTAAAGCCAAAATGAAGTTTTCTTCTTAACACATACTTACCTAGAGTTTATTTAGAAAATTGAGTGATCAAATTGAGACTGTTTTTGTTTATTTAAGGTGGGTGGCAGGATGAAACCTGGCCTGATGGTTGGACCGCAGTGACGAGAGATGGGAAGCGGTCTGCTCAGTTTGAGCACACCCTGCTGGTCACGGACACTGGCTGTGAAATCCTAACTCGGAGACTTGACAGCGCGCGGCCTCACTTCATGTCCCAATTTTAATTTCTCCTAAGATGACACAGCTCAATAATACTTTCTTATTCTGTGCATTTTATTGAGAGTACAGAAAGGAAGAGGCAATTTTTTTAATCACTTGTTTTGTTTCAATTATAAAAAGGACTACAGCATTTGGTGTGTGTCCTCAGCAGCTTGTCTTGGGTCTATAAATGCTGAGAAGAATAAAGGAAATATTGCTCATTTCCTTTCATAACCCCCCATCCCAACTCTGCACACCTTTTTTCTTATTTGCCCCTTGAGCACTTTTACTTAAACTTGCTTTTTGTTGCTTTTATCACTGCCACAAACCGGCCATCAGGAGCCAGCTGCTTTCCAGGTGAATGTTGAAGATGAGAACCCTTGACATTTTAGCAACACATGTTGCTGCAGATTTTTTTTATTATATATGGAAATATATATGCATACATTTTAAACTCCATATACATAATTACTGAACACTATGTGACCTTTGGTTTGGGTTAATTCTGCTTTGACGGTTATTTGCTGTCATAAATGGATCCATAGTTTGTAGTGATTTAATTCCTGGATGGGAATTGGCCCCATGCTAATTACTTACCCTGTTCTTGTGTGTAAGGAAGCACTCACTCAGTGAGACTTTCTCTCCATTGTGGACTCTGTTAGTGAATGAATGTGTTAAAATTCACTTTGGAAGGTTATCAGTCTAGTATGTGGCAAAAATAGCCCTGTGTCCAGCCGTGACTGGCTGTGGCAGGGCACTGCCGTTTCAGACCTCCATTTGTCAGAAATGGGAGGAGGAAAGCCCCTCTTCTTCCCCTTCTCTTATTTCAGGGTTGTACCTTGGGGATGCTCAGAGAAGGGTGTTGGTTGGGTGCACTGTGGCAGATGATGGGGAAAGAGTAAGTAGGTGGGCTGTGAGCGACTTCACATTTAATAACCTGTTAGCAATGAAAACGGAACTTCCTTGAGTACTGTAACCTTGCAGTAGGGATGTTGCTGTCCTTGGTATGTTGAAGTACACCTCACCTGAATGTAGTTGAGAGCCTCATTAGAAATGACCTCAGCTGCCAATATCTATGTTCCTTTCAGCAGTTGTCCAAATAGATGTGTGTCCAGTGAAGACATCAGATCCTAAAGTCACTGTCATTTAGAATATGCTTGATCGCTGGGTATTTTGATGACTTCCTTGTGATATAATTTGATGCCGCTGACACATTACACTTGTAAGAGATCATCTTTCCCAGAGTGCCTCAGACCTAATTGCTTTAAGAGAATTATGATAATGTTTTCATTACTTTTATTATTTTAATGATTTAGTAAAGTGACTGAATCTGGTATAGACTTCTGGGGGTATGTGTGTGAAGTTTTTATCAAACTGTAATATTTGTGAATGGAATGCCTTGTAATACGAATGTTAATATAATGTGTAAAGGGAGATTAAAAGTTTGAATTATTATCCCACCATTCATCATTAACTTTGCTGCATTTGTTTGGGATTTCAGAGGGAATTGCTTGAATGGCGAGGCTGATTTCATAATCTGTAATAAACTCAAGACCATTTGAGTACAAATACTTTTCCAGGCATAATGGCTACACCATAATTGCAGTATTGTGTTTAATCCAGCAGAGTGCAGCACTTGAGATACAACCATATTTTTGAGAGTATATTGAACATTTAGGGAAGCCTTTTATGTTCTGAAAATGGAATTAACAGTGTGGATTTATTCAGTGTCATTAGGAAATATACTGACAAAGTCTAGTAGGACAGTATACTTGCTGCTGCTGTTGCTTACCTCCATTTGGGGAATTTAAAATTTTTTTTAAACAGTGTGGGCTGTAGTCTAATTACATGTATTGAATTACAAATATGTATTAGATTTAAGTGACCAAACATCTACTGCCATCATTCTGCCACCTTCTTTACAAAATATTTCAGTGTATTAACATTTTTTTTTTTTAGTGTCTGAGATTGAACCCAGGGCTTCATGCATCTCCAGATATATTAACGATTAAGATATACTTTTTTCTTTTTTTTCCTGCTAGACCTCCAAACCCTTTGGAATTATAATTTAAAAGAAAGGAAATGTGTTTGTCATTATTTTCATTTTATGCCTTTTACAGATAAAGTAGTGAGACCAGGATCCCTTCGCCAACACCTTCATACCAATGGCCACCTGTGTATCTAAATGAATAGAGGAGGCTTAGGAATTTGTTTGCCATCGTAGCCTGATTCTTCCGTCTGTTTTCTGTTAGTGAGTTTTCATTTGGTTTGGTTAAAATTGATAGTACATGCTATACTTTGCTAACGCCTTCAAATGCATATTGACTCTAGAGCTAAGTGTTTTCCTTCTTTTAAAATTACATTTTTGTTTTTACATCCATCTTTTTATTTTGCAAATTTTCAGGTTTACATAAAAATTGAGTATAGTCCAATGAGATAATCACATACCCTTTACTTACATTTGGTAATTGTTATTTTGCCACTTTTGTTTCATATTATGTCTGTTTCAGAACTTTTTTCCCTCCCAGTACTGGGCATTTAACCTAGGTTCTTGTGCATGCTAGGTAAACACTTTACCACTGAGCAACACCCTCATCCCCTAGCATTTTTCTTTTGAAAAAAAGTGGCATGATACTTCAGCCATCACTACTTCAGCTTTGTTTCTTAAAATGTACAGATATTCTCCCACGTGATCATAATGTAATTTTGACACCTGGGAATTTTAACACTGGTGTGGAATTATGTAAAGTCTAGAACATGTTCTTTTTTTTGGCAATACTGGGGTTTGAACTCAGGGTCTCACACTTGCTCCTCAGGTGCTCTACCTAGCCCTAAAGCGCTTTAAAAAAAAAAAAAAAATCCAGGATCCAAACTCATGACATTGGTCCTGTATCTGTAGTCTACTGTACAACATAAAATGAATTAAATGAACATAAAAAAACTTCATGGTGTTTCATAAAATTGAAATTTGAACATTCAGGCCACTTTGGCTTGTAAAGGTTTAATTCTAAGGAGGATAGGTTTAAGATAAACATTTTGACAGAAGACTACATAGACAACATATTGTACCATTCATTATATCTTATGAGAAAGTACATTATTGCCAGTGCTTTTTGATCACTTGGTGTTTGTCAGGTCTTTTAATTGTAAAATTACTAGTTTTTTTCCTTAAGCTACTGGTCTAGGAGGAAGTACTTGGAGACCATTTGGATATCCCATTCACTCAGTGCTTTTACTTCTCATTGATAATCCTTGTCCGAATCCACTGTTTTATTGGTGGCTGCAAGTTGTCATTTTCTACCCTAACATCCCATCTACATTTGTTAGCTCACATTCTTTTACAAAAAAATGGCCTTGTCCTCTTTTTTGAGAATCAAGGTGGGATCACAGATTATTTAAGTTCTATATAGTTATCCCAAAATTGGCCAGTGGGAGCACCATTAAGCTTGTTGGTGGGTTATTTTAAATCATCAGTCTGAGTACTTCCTTGCCTTTGCCATAGCAAGAAGTTTTAGACATCTTGTTCCTATACCATACTGGGAATTGGCTTTTTCCTGGTGCTTTTCTAGGGGAATGATGTTTGGAAATTAAGATCTGAGTTCTTCTGGAGTCTCATTGCTGCTGGGCACTTTTAGAACACAAATGCATTTTTTAAATTTCTGAATTCTTGTATTTCCATTTCAAACTAAACACTGCATTTCCTCTCCCGTTTAATGGAGTAACATTTGTCTCTTCTTTGTGAGAACTGTTATCAAACATTAGTATTTGCTTGATCCTATAGGACATGTACAGTTATATCAGTTACTATACCAAAATTACCAACAATAAACTAAGTACAAAGTTAGTGATTTTTCTTACTTGTAGGACATATTTGAAATAATTATTATCTCATTTGTATTCTAAGTTTCATAGACTGTAAGTCTTTTTTTTTTTTTGCAGTACTGGGGTTTGAACTTGGCCTTTTGCTTGCCAAGCAGGTGCCCTATTATGAGCCAGGCCTCCAACCCTTTTTGCTTTAGTTGTGTTTGGCATAGGGCCTTTGTTTTGTTTTGTTTTTTTTTTTGCCCAGGTTGGCCCCCAATTATGGTCCTCTTGATCTGTCTGCTCCAAAGTAGCTAGGATTACAATTGTGAATTACTGGCACCTGGCTTGGGGAGAATATTGTAGTTATTTGTGAGTTAGAAATTCTGTGTTTTGAGATGATGCAGTCAGATTCTGCCTACATTTGACGGTGTTTAACTTCTTCTTAGGCTTTCTAGCTACAAGAGTAGATCTTACCGCTTGTGATGTGGAAGCGTGGCCTGTTCTCCAGTTCCTTTATATTAGAAAACAATACCTGAACATTAATGTTTCAGGCACAGATTGTTTCATAACATCGGCTGCGCTGGGACAAAATGTGCACTGGGGTCATTTTAAAAGTGAACACCCAAGGAAAAGGTAGCTTGATGGCACAAGACCTAGACGTGGAAACTCCCTGGCCTTGCTATTTGGGTTTTTGAGAGGCAAGCTGCCTTTGGTAAATGCTTGTCTTTGTGGCAGTCTCCTTCATTACCTTTTTGTTCTCCCTTTTGGTGCTAAGTATGAAAAAGAAAAATTGTGATGTACATTTGGATGTTTCATGAGAGAAAGGAATTAGAAGCCTTTGCCACATATCCTCTGCTGCTTTTCATTTTGGGGACTGTGAGCAACAACAGAACCGCCTGAATATGGTAATTCTGTGGTTATTTTAGAAATGTGCCAAAAATTGATACATGGAGAATTTCAAAAATTCCTGTAAGGATTTTCACCGATGTGTTTGTTCGTAATTCAAAGTATTTTAGTAATGTCTTCTGTGGAAACTTCTACCATATCCAGCCTTTTTACTATAAAACTTTTCGGGCTTGCACTCAGGGCCTTCACCTTGAGCCACTTTGCCAGCCCTATTTTTGTGAAGGGTTTTTTGAGGTAGGGTGTCAATGAACTATTTGCCTGGGCTGGCTTCAAACCACGATTGTCCCGAGTAGCTAGGATTACAGGCATGAGCCACCGGCGCCTGGCTTACTGTAAAACTTTTAATTGCAAAATTGCTCTTATCTATTGAGTAATGAAATTTGTAGCCCTATTCCTATTATTCTGCCTTCCTCATCCCACTCACTCCCAACAAGCATGTGCCAAGGATGCTTATTTTCTAAAACTTGTAAGTATGTTTGTACTGTGGTGTCTTGAGGAGTACATGACCAACCAGTTCTAATTTCTACAATTTTTAACTGATTGCATGGTTATGAAGAAAAATCACTGTTGTCTGTAGAAAGCCCATTTGTGCACTGATACAACTTAGTATGACTGTAAACATGAATTTTTATTTCAATAGTCGGGTTAAATTGAATCAGCATTTGAGCTCTGAGTGATTTTGAGAAAACAAAGCCCAAGAACTTTAGTATTAAAATGTAGAGTAAATTAATGTATTAAGGCATTGTTTTTATGTTGCTTAACACATCTCGGTATTTTTGGCGGTCGAGTATTTTAGCACAAGTAAGCTGGAGGTAATTCTCTGGTGCAATCTCCTTTCTTGAAACGAGCATAAGAGAATTCTGCTAGTTATGCACTTGATAAAAAATCAGCCTGCCCAAGAGCCCATTCCACAGCTTTGTTGCCATACAGTCGCACCAGAAGAAATCTTGTGTAATGGAGGATGACTGTATATGTCCTATTTGGCTGTCATAGACACTGGCATAATTCTCTCCATGTACTGTCAAAATAGCTGTTGAAATGACAATTTGATCTTGCATGTTAATTAAAACCAAATTGGCTGAATTCAAAGTTGTTCTTCCTGGGTCAGCACTGTTTCTAGGCCCAAAGAACTGTTAGTTACTTTAGGTTGTTTAACTTCAACCTATCGGGCAGATGATAGTCAAGTGAATTTCTGAAATATTCTGGGCATGTAAAATGTTTTCCCCTTCCCAAATCAACAAAACATCAAGTATGAAACAACATGAGCAGTTTTATACTGGTAAGTATAATCTTGCAGCCAAATTCTATGCATCATCCCTTGGGGTCATCTGGGATGGAAATGAGGAACAAACAGCGTATGTGCTCAACTCCACTATACAGTGGAGCTAGTTAAGGCATACAACTTACACCAAACCAAAAGGGTTCCAAAAATACACATAGTCTACTTCTATCGATCTCATTTGAATGCAAGATTATACTTAGCTGGAAACATTTTATATGCACAGAATGCTTCAGAACTTTGCTAGACCAGCAGTCTCCCTGAGCATTTAATAATGAACTTGTACTTTCTCCAGCAAGTGTCACTAGGTAGGTTAAATAGAGAACAGAATAGCTCAGCATCAATCTGGAAAATAGGCAAGACTTAAAAATGCTAGGCATATAAAAAAAGTCCAGTTAAACATAAAAATGCTTTAAGTTAGTTTCTAATGTTGCAAAATTTTAGATCCTTAAATTTAAAAAAATCTTGTTTTACTAGCTGTCATCAAATATACAGAATATCCATCTGTCTAAAATTACATACCGTAGTCAAAGGAAGTAATCTGCAGGTATTTCAAAAATTTCCCAACAGTCGTTTCAGAGAGGCAGACTCCTCAATCAAGAGAGGTGCTGATACACACACATGTGCTTTATTTGTACTCTGTTCCAAAAACTTCTTGGTTCTGTAACATACATAGCCTCATAAATTTCATCCAAGTAGATGTATTAAAAGGACCTTAAAAAGAAAGGTTGGGGCTGGAGCATGGCTCAGGTGGTGGAACACCTGCCTATCAGGCATGAGTCCGTGTGTTCAAACCCTAGGGCCGCCAAAAAAAGAACTTTGTGTACCTCTAGTTGAGTCCTATAATCCAGGAATCTGTGTAGTAATGATCTTGTAATCTTGATTCCTTATATTGTATCTTGGAAATGCTAATGCGTTAAACTTAACTTACTGGCTCAAGAGTATGTACTTAACACTTAGACAAAAATGAAAACTAAACTAAAAATTGGCTGGCTACAAAAACTGGAGTAGCACTATTTTAATATCTTAAAATTTTATTCGTATTTGTGAACACAAAGATTTACCATTCCTGTTTTCACACATACATAAAAACAAAAGAACCCTCCTCCCTGCCTTTTTTTTTTTTGGTGGCACTGGAGTGTGAACTCAGTGCCTCATGCTTGTAAAGCAGGTGCTCTTACTGCTTGAGCCACTCCACCAGCATTTTTTTCTCTTTTGAAAAGCAGCATTGCCAGCTGGGTATGGGGTACATACCCAGCAGAGGGAGGCAGATGCAAAAGGATCATGATTTGAAGGCTAGCCTGAATTAGATAGTTTCAAAAAAAGAAAAGGCAGCATTGCCCAGTTTCTTCTACCTTTCCTTATAGAATGAAAATAATGGGGTGAGAAGCCATAAGAAGACCACATACAAACACAGAAGTAACTTTTATTAAAATATTCCTTACTGAGTTAGTAGTTACAGATTTGTGACTGTTAGCTTTGTCCTTGATTAGAGACTTAGGAATCACATGTGTACTGATGCCACTATCTCCTAGGATAGTTAAAGGTCTAAGAAGCTAGTCATCTCTCTGCCAGTCACGCTGCTCTCTCAGATCAAAAGGCTTAGGTGCGGGTTGGACAGAGTTTTCTCTTGAATTTAAATCTTTACGACAGTTCGAATGCTGTAAGAGAAGGAAGAAAAATAAAACATTTTGAATGATGAACTTAACTTTTAAGACCCACTGGAATTGTATTACTTTTGATTCTTTTTCCCTGTAAGCCCCATAGCTAAAGGGAGAATGTACCTCTTCCCTGAATGCATCAGTTCAAAGGCTTCATTAATTTGACTGAAGGACAAATTTCCAGTCACAAATTCATCAACTTTTATCTTTTTGGACATGTATTCAGATACCAACTTTGGGATACTTTCTACACTCTTCCATCCTAAAAAAAAAAAAAAATCACATAATTTATACAACACACTTCTAAAGTATACTTATTACTTAAGTGGGTGACATAAGGACATTTAAGAAAGTAAATTGGTAAAGAAAGTATCACATGATAAAGCGAGAGCACACTTGGGAGGTATGAGGATAGGTAAGACAACCAAAACACTAGATAGCAATTGTTACCCTCAATGCAGAGAAAATAATGCAGATACTTTAAAGCAACAGAGGCCAATAGGAGAAGGGGACCAGGAACTAGAGAAAAGGTTAGTTCAAGAAGAATTAACTTAGAAGACAACACTCATGAACAGGAAAGCAATGCGAGTCAACTCCCTATATAGCTATCCTTATCTCAACCAGCAAAAACCCTTGTTCCTTCCTATTATTGCTTATACTCTCTCTACAACAAAATTAGAAATAAGGGCAAAATAGTTTCTGCTGGGTATTGAGGGGGTGGTGGGGAGAGGGAGGGGGCGGAGTGGTAAGGGAGGGGGTGGGGGCAGGGGCAAGCCTTGTATGCACATATGAATAATAAAATTAAAAAAAAAAAGTAAATTGGTAAAGAAAGTAAATTTGGAATGAAAAATTCCAAAATTGGTTTGAAGTGGAAGAACTTGATACATGCCTTTATGAAAATACTTTTGAGTTAAAACAACATATTGAGTATTTTCCTTTTGCTATAATTAAGATTTACTAAAATCTATTCATTTGTTTACTTATTGTTTTGTGGTGCTGGGGTTTGAACTCAGGTACTCACACTTACTAGGCAGGTGCTGACTACTTGAGTTACTCTACCAGCTCCCTAAAGTCTTTTTAAACTTCTGGGCAACTGACCTTTTTTTTTGAGACAGGGTCTTGCCACGTAGCCCAAGCTGGCCTGGAACTGGCAATCCTCCTGCCTTAGCTGAGTGCTGGGATCATAGGCCTGCGCCACAATGCTGAACACCAGCTCAGACTTTTAAACTACAAAGGATAGACCTCGAAGTCTTAGCAACAGCTTATTTAGGTCCACGACGGCAAAGACCTCTGAGATCACATTTAAAGAAGAAAAAAAAACTGATGCAATTCAGGATTGAATATCCTGGGTCTTCCATGCAACAATAAAATAGGGATAGCAACTCAGAAAACCATGGGATTCAAAAACAAAGTAGGAAATCTTAAGTGATAAAATTAAAACAAAAACAAAAACAAAAACATTTCAATGTCTCACTTGTATCCAAAGAAGCATTAAATCAACAAAGAAGCCTTCTTCCACGTTTGAGTGTGCCTTGGACAGAACTTCAAACCCCTTCTGAACCTTTTCCAAATCTTCCTCCTTATGCTCTCCACCAATTTTACCAAATGTAAAATTTCTACCATCTCCACTGAGATGGTGGAAATTTTACATTTCCTCCTTAAATCTTATACTACCTGAGATAATTACAGCCCAGTCTATTCTCTAAACCAAAGCTTCTGTTTACATCTTTGGGTCATCATAGCAAAGCAAGGAACTGCAGTGTTCCAGTGAATTTCTCCACTGGTAGGTACTAGGATGAGGTTTCAGTTAGAGGGTACTACGAAGAACCCCTGACTCTGCCACCAGGTTTACAGTGCCCTTTCAAATACAGCTACAGTAAGATGATGCCTCTGGTAGTATGTCACAGGACACTGGAAAGAAGGGACTATACATACTGACACTTTTGTGAATAGGAGAAGGGAAATTTTGACCAACCCCTTATTTTAGCATACTTTCTAAAGGTTTTCTTGAGGCTTTCAAAAGAGATGGCATCATAATATGGGGTAGGGAATCTTAACAGACATCTTGTTAAATACAAATCATTCAAAACTCTTGATTTCCTTTCCCATGAGAATGGTAAGATACAGATTTTTAAGGCCTCTAAACACTTTACAGATTCCACTCATTCACAATATTTGGGAAATACAAATGTGTTTTGATGCCTTTTGTCTTTCCTAGCTGAACTACCACAGAAAAGATGGAAACCATGAGCAGTCTGCTGGTAGTCAGGCAATCCCAAATAACCAAGTAACTTTTTAGAATCACAAAAGGGGAAAATGATTTTTTAAAAGTGTTGTATAATAGAATATTTCTGTTTAAGACTCAGTATTGTTATTATTGCTAAAATCAGCACTATTCAGAAAAAATATCCACCATGTGATCACCACATTCTCTGAGTAACAATGTGACAGCCTACCTAAGTCCAAAACATGAAACAGTGTGACAGACACTGTTTTCTCTGCAAACAGCTTCAACAGCTTCTTACTCTATCAGTCCGCAACTTAGAAAGTTTTTCTTTTTAATTATGGAGCAAGTGGGCATGTGCTTCAAAACACACAGCAGGGGTAAATACAATTGCAACAACTCATGAGGACAATGTAGCTCACAGATATGTTAAGGCAAGAAAATTAGCCTGACATTTAAAATCTGCCAAAGGAGTAAGCAAGAGAGAAACTATTCATCTGAGCCACCGATTACCTCCAAAGGCAGTGCCTTTCCACGTGCGTCCTGTCACCAGCTGGAATGGACGAGTAGCAATTTCTTCACCTGAACCCGCTACTCCAACCACCACACTGACACCCCAGCCTTTGTGGCATGCCTCCAGTGCTGCTCTCTGTAAGCACAGGGATAAGAACACATCACAGGAGTCAGGGCATTATGCTCAGAACACCTTCTCCAGAAACTCTGGTCCGGGAGCAGGGTGGCACAGAGCTTTTTAAACAAATGTCCAAGCTAAATGCTTAATAAGTTCAGTTTCATCGGACAGTTACATTTTAACAGGTATTTTTAGATTAATCTGGAAAATGGATTAAAGGCTTAAATCTAATTCCTGAAACTATCAGAAGAAAACACAGGGAATGCTTCTGGGCATTGAAATGGACAAGGTCCGACAAGAACAGGAAACAAAAGCAAAATGGGATTATATCAAATTAAAAAGTTTCTGTACAGCGAGGAAACAATCAAGAGACTTCAGAGACAGCTTACATAAGGAGAGAAAATATCTGCATTGTACATCGGACAGGGGTTTAATATTTAGAATATATTAAAGAAACAGCAAAAACCCGAATAACCTGGTTAAACAATGGAGTAGTACGTAACTTTCTAAAGAAGTCTGCCATGGGCTTAAGGCACATGAAAACTTGCTGCATCACTATCTAGGTAATGCAATTCCAGCACAGTGAATACCCCTTCACCCAGTAGAATGGTATTATTGACAAGGCTAACAGCAACAGCACTGGTGAGGGAGGATGTGGAGAAGGAGCCCTTTTTCACTGCTGGTAGGAAGGTAAATTGTACTGCCACTGTCGAAAACAGTATAGCAGTTTCTCAAAAGATTAAAAATGGAACTACCGTATGATCCAGAAAACCTAGTACTGGGCATATCTCCAAAGGAAGTGAAATCAGTGTCCACGAGTAATAGCCAAGCAATTCTTAACAGCCAAGAAATGGAAACATGTCTGTCAACTAATGAGTGAAGAAAAGATGGTATACATACACAATGGAACAGTACTCAGCCAAAGAAAGGAATAAAATCATGTCATTTGCAATGATGTGAACAGAACTGGAGGTCATTATACTCACTGAAATCAGGCACAGAAAGACTAACCAAAAGCCCCCACAAAACACAAAGATAATGAAGCCTCTTTGTATGATTTATGCAAAAAAAAGACCTCCTTTGCAAAAATGAAACAATTTTTAATTTTAAGAAAACTGCATTAACAAAAGGCTTCATAGACAAAAAAGGGAAGAAGCCAAGCACACTCACCATGACCTTCACGTTACCAATACACTCAAAGGAATAGTCCACTCCTCCATCAGTCATTTCAATGAGCACTTCCTGGATGGGCTTATTGAAGTCCTGGGGATTAATGCACTCAGAGGCTCCAAATTCTTTGGCCTTTGCAAATTTATCTTTATTGATGTCCACACCAATGATCCGGGATGCACCAGCCACTTTACAGCCCATAATAACTGCCAGTCCAACCCCTCCTAGGCCGAAGACTGCACAAGTAGAGCCAGGTTCCACCTAACGGTAAAGAAAGTCTATAAATCATTCCACAGGAGAAGTCACAGATGAGGCTACTTTCACTTTTACAGCAAAGCTTTGCTAAAACCTAGGCCAATCTCTTACCTTGGCTGTGTTCAGAGCAGCACCATAACCAGTTGAAATGCCACAACCAAGAAGGCAGACTTTATCCAAAGGTGCTGAAGGATCTATTTTAGCAACAGAGATATCAGCCACAACTGTGTATTCAGAAAATGTGCTGGTTCCCATGTAATGTAAAATTGTCTTTCCTTTGCAAGTAAATCTGCTAGTACCATCTGGCATTAATCCTTTCCCTTGAGTGACTCTAAGGAAAAATAAATATATTAAGGAAAATGGCAGGGTGGAATCAGGTTTCTTAAAACCCCCAGGACAAAGAAATCAATTTGTAAAATAAAGACCAGTAAATATTCAAAAAAGTGTATTAAGACCAAAAGTCTAATTTCTAATGAATTCATTAATAATTTTAACACTTTTCAGCAATGCCTTATTTCAGTATCCTTCTGGAACTTGTCAGAGTACTGAATTCATTTTAATAAGTACAACTTAAGGATCAGATGAAAAATTAAAATTCCACCATGAAAATGTGTGACCAATGTAACTTCATAAAAGATGAAGCCAAAACCAGTATCTACACAAAGAAAGATTATAAGCAAATTACCCAGGTGAGGTGATGAAAACAAATGGCCAAAGTGGCTAAAGTAGGTCTTTCAGGAGGCCCTTTTCAAAAGTATAACCATTCTCAAGGATTCAAGTTACATTTCCTCTTCCCTTTTGCTTTGCCTTTGTGGTGCATTAAAACAACGCTCCCCTGTGCCCCTCCCCCAAAAAAACAAACAAACCAAAACTCACAAAGGTAATCAGTACAATAAATGTAACCAAGATTACTTGTGATGTTTGTGATGTTCTAGAACAGACAGAAGGCATAACAACTTGATTAGGAATAACATCTTGATTCAGACTAAGATCTAAAGTCAGATCACTTGGTTCAAATCCTATGTGATCTTGGGCAGGTTAACATTTGTGTCTTGGTTTCCTCACTAGAAAATGTGGAGAAACAATAGTATCCTCCTTATAAATCGCTATGAAAATTGAGTGAGATGTTATATAGTGCATTAGTATTGAGCCTGGCAGAGTGAGTGTTTAGTAAATATTTGTCCTCTTTAATAAACATTGTAACTTGTACATATACTCAGATAAATCCTTTAAGGTATATATGCATATATATATGATGAAGAGAAAAGAGATTGCTTTTAATTTTCTCAGCAGCATTAGAAAACAAATACAAGAACAAATGGATCTTTTATATGCTGTTGGTGGAACACTCACATTGCAGAGCTGTAGATGTGTTTCCATAATTTAGCAATTCCAATCCCAGGAAAACACCATGAGCAAATAGTGTATAATATCCATCACAGAATATGCTAAGAATGTCTCTAGTAGCATTAATTGTAACAGCTCCAACCAACCTAAATGTCTGTCAACAGTAAAATGGATAAACAGTGGTATCTGGAATGGAGTATGATAGAACAACAAAAAAGAAGTAGAGATGTACACAGCAACTTGGACAAAGCTCACAGAACTATTAATGGAGAGAAGCTAGCAGAACACATGCTGTATGATTCTACCTGTGCAAAGTTCTCTAGTGAAAGACATTAGGATATTCTGAGGGAGACAGGTACTGACTCAGAAGGGACATGAGGAACTTTGAGGGATGCAGGCACGGATCTCTATCTTGGTCTGGGTGATGGTTCTAAAAATCAGATAAGTATTACACATAAACTGTCATTGAGCTGGACATTTAAGAATTGCATACCGTAAGTGCTGTATTCTATGCATGTTCTACATGTTCTACCTCAATAAAAACAAAACGAAAAGGGAACAATCAAAAAGGAGTCTTAAATTGCCTTAAAGAAGCAGTTCATGTGATGCTACTTCATAATAAAATAACTGTCTTTTCTATGTCAAGTGGTTATATCTTCTCTTCTAGGCTTCCCAGATCTTATGAAGTAACTTTTATTACTTTGATTTAATGAACAATAAAATGGCTCATAAAACTGGCTTCTTTTAACCTCAAAATATGCCCTTCTTGCTAATTTAGCCCAATGTTACGGAAAGAGAATGAGTCCAGAAAGTTCTGTTTTATATCTCAATGGTTGGTGATAGTGGGAAAATCCTTAATTTCTAAGTTCGGTTTTTTCTCATCCTTAGAAATAGGGATACTAATGCAGTAACAGTAAAATAACATTAATGATGGGATGAAATAAGTCATGTACAGTATGCTATATAAGTGGCACACAATTACTTATCATTGTTAATATGACCTCTTGTTTTAAGAATAAAAAACTGGATGCCATAGCTCATGTCTACAATCTCAGAACCCTGGAGGTTGAGGCAGGAGGATCTCGAGATCCAGATCAGCCTGGGGTGTAGGATGAGACCCCATCTCTCTCTATACATACAAACAAGAGGACACTCACCTTATCTTCTGGCACAGGTTGGTTTTAGGATTTAGACAGAATTTACATTCTCCGCACTGTGGTATGTAAAGTGGGATGACAGTATCACCTGGGACGCAAACACGAAGGTGTTATCCTGGGTGGCATCTATTTCTAAGTCAATACAGCAGCCCTTGCAAATCCCGCTTCCTACTGTCACCTGATGCAGCTCTGCAAAGTTAACACCACCACGGTTTAAAACCTTACCTACAGAATACCATGCCAAAAGTACGTTTCAATGAAATGAAACTATTAAAACAATAACTGGAGAGCAGAGTCATGCTTTTCAAAATACTGACTCACTGATGTATCTCTATAAATCTTGCTTGATTTGCCAAGATTGCTTTGCGAATGTACTTAAAACAGTTTCAAATGAAGGGGAGTCTGCAAAATCAGAGGAAAAACTAACTGAAATATCTGTGTTTCCTAGATGAAGGATGAAATTGGTCTTGACAATTCTTAGATGATAACCTGTTCATAAATAAACAGCTGTGTAGTTCTATCAGAAAAGTAATTTCTCTATAGAAGTAAATACAAATCATCAAATAAGTGGTCCAAATACTTTTCTTACCTGCCTTCAGCTTAGTCACTCCCTCACCGACACTCTCCACAATGCCAGCACCTTCATGTCCCAAGATCACTGGAAAACAGCCCTCAGGATCGGCTCCACTCAGGGTGTAGGCATCAGTATGGCAGACCGCAGTGGCGATGATCTATCAGGAGAGTAAAGTAAAAAGTATTCTAGTGTGTGTGCAGTTCAGTGTAAGATACAAGTCAAATAATGTATGTGCATGCAGTTCAGTGTGAGATCAAGTTAAATGAAAGGCATTTTATTTAATACCGTATTTTGTTGATTTTGAGATACATTTCTTTCATATTTTAACTTCTTTAAAGTCAACAAGTGTTTATAGTCCATGGCATCCTAGCAATCAGAATTAGCAGCATTTCTAGTGGCACATAAAAATAGTGCATTTTTATGCAACAAAATGTGATAATCTATTCTCCTATTCAGTGCATGTTACCAGGAGAAGGTAAACACAGTGATTTTATGAACACTATGCCTTCAGGTGTGGAAAGGAATATGACTTGTGCCCCAAACAGCAAGCTCTAATCTTACTGTTAGCTTCCTAACTGTTGGGAAATGTGGTATCTAAGAAATAATGCCAGTCTACATGAGTCTGGCCAAAACTCAAGAGCCACTAAAAGTGGATCCAACTTCTTTTTTGCTACCACACACAACTTCTACTTAAATGAGCCCTTTACTCCTATTGTTTTGGCTTTTAAGTATCTTATCTTTCTAAACCACAGAAAGGCAAAATCTTGGGAGTGTTTGTTTTTATGCTTCTCTGCTTCTGGTCTATATGTGCACTTACAATGTAACTGCTATACACAACTGCAGTTTTCCAGAAGTGAAAGCAGATCTCACTGTGTTCTACAAATCCAGGACAAATACTATCTTTGTCAGTGGCAAAAACACAATTAGCTTGAATAGGTCTTATTGAAAAGGTTCTTAAAAAGTCACGTGGTCCTGGGCTTCTCTAGCTGATTTGTGTGATTTTTAGGGGCATGAGCACATATGTGTGGTATTTGCCTGGAAGTAGAAAGGGTAGAACATTTAAAATGATATCAAAAAGAGCTGTGACTGTTCCTCAAGTGTTAACATTTTCCTAGAATGTTAAGGAAAAGACACTATGTAATGGTCACTACTTTAAAGCATTATTATTTTTATCAAAAAGGAGAATACTAAAGCCATGTTTTATAAATGTCAAGGCCTCAAAGAACTCTCCAGCTGTCTGCCTTCTCCAGTATGTCTCTCTTCAGAGAGAACTTCCTTTCTCTGCCTCAGTGGAGGCTAAGAAGCACCAGAACAATAAATGAATCCTGGCTTTGTCCACAATGGAGGTACATTTTAAATCTCTCTGAGCATGGAGACTTCATTTGCTACCGCCCTAGTCAATCAGGAACCTCTCCAAATTTTATGTGAAGTCTCTTCTAACGAAACTGAAAACTTTATCTTTGTTTCTGATGTGACACCGTACGTGTTAAGCTGTGGGATCAGTAGAAGGGGAAGATTTTAAAACACCACCTTAAACCCAAACTATAAAAGTTATATTGTAGTAACCCATGGGGATGGTTGCTCAGCCCCAGACCAACGCTAAAAAGATGGGAGACAAATGCTACAAAGATAAGAGGTGTTAAGAGGAGGATGTTGTGGTTCTAAGATTGGATGACTTTCAATACTTTTTCTTTAATGGTGTCCTTTTGGGTATGTCTTCTGCAGACCTCAGACTTACTCATCTCTCCAGAGACCTAACTGTAAGTCTCTTTCCCAGTGCCTCAGATGCATCATTACCTTAATTCGAACTTCATGAGCCTTTGGGGGTGCTACCTCTATCTCCTCTATGGAGAGAGGCTTTCCAGCCTCCCAGGCAACTGCAGCCTTGCACTTGATAACCTACAGTGGAGGAGAAGAGAGCAAACTGTTTATCCTCTTAAATTAGTAACTACTCAATAGTCAAATTAGATACCAATGAATGCTATGAATACCAATGTATTCATGTACCTCTAAGTGACATGGAGAACTGTTTTAAATTTTATATAAATTATATACTTTAAAAAGATTTAATTAAGATGGCTACCTCATCAGATATAAAAGCCTCTTTTGGCCAAAAATTTTATTCCTCAATATTTAATGACCCTTTCCAAAGCACAAAGAAGAGTAGGTTAAGAATACTGATCCAGAGCCCGGGATGTAGCTCTGTGGCATGCAAGAGGTCCTGGGTTCCATCCCCAGAACTTTTTTTTTTTTTCCTAAAAGAAGTTTTCAAGAGAATATGATTCAGCAGGTCTGGCACGAAGTTCAAGGAACTGTATGTTTAATATGTGCCCTATTAAACTCTTTTGATATGAAGGTCTTAAATAACACCAGTTTGATGCAAAACAGTATGGTAGGAAGGATAAGAGCATCAGAATTGGAGATACATAAAAAACTAACTGTTCCTCATAACTGTGCTAATACATAGCCATTTGTCATGTGTGTCTGCTGAGTTCTAGAAAATTGGCCAATGTGAAATGAAATGTACTGCAAATATAAAATACACCTGGATTTTGAAGACTTCGTACAAAAAAGGATAAAAGTGTTGCAATAATATTTTAAAAATATTAATATGCTGAAACTGTATTGGATTATGCAAATATACAATTAATTTTACTTTTTAATGTGGTTACTGAGAAATTTTAAATTACATATGTGTAAGAGCTGCCTTAGAGATGACAGTCAGTACACCCCTGTATTACCATGGGGAAGGTCAGGTTTTGATCAGTTCACATAATGCTTATGAAATGTGTTGACAGAATAAAGGTTGTAAAGGCCCTGAGTTTATAGGAGACAGACTTAATAATTACAAAAGCATGATTTAAAGAAACAGCTACAAAGTGCTACAGAATACAAAAAGAAAAGGAGGAATGTAACTCTGGTGGTTTTGGGAAACTATCATTTAAGCTGGGTACTAAAAGATTAGGGAGAGATAGTTACAAAAGGTGATAAAACATTTATGAACAGGGTGGTTATGAGGAGTAGGAGAGAATGAATATGAAGCCCCTGCCATAGCTCTTGATACTGTAGAGCTTTGTAAAGGTAAGTTAGTAGTTAGTGGAGTAGAATAGAGGTGAGGAAAAGGAGAGGTGAGTACATATAGATATAAGTGGCCTGGGTAAATGGGCTAGAAATCCTGAGTTCAGGAACCAGTACTGCCAAAAAAATAATAAAAATAAAAAAATAAAATGTTGGGCTGGAGGAATGGCTCAAGTGGCAGAGTGCCTGAAAAGCACTGATTTTAAACCCCAAGAAAACAGCAAAGCCAATTAAGTTGTAGAGGCTAGGCACAGTGGCTCAAGCCTGTAATTTCAGCTATTTGAGGTAGGGTCTGGAGGATCACAGTTCCAGGCAGCCTGGGCAAAGTGATAGGGAGAGTTTATTTCAAAGAACAAGCCAGATGAAGTGGTACATAACTAATTACAGTGACATGGGAGGCATAGATAGAAGGATCGTTGTCTGAGGCCCTGAATTCAAACCCCAATACCACCAAAACAAACAAAAAAATTAAAATGTAGATCTTAAACCTGACAGTATAAAGAATTTTGCCACTGCAACATATTTTCATCTCAAAGTACCACCGATCTTAAAACTAAATCCCAAAGCATCAAATTTAGAAATTAACAATTTAACATTGTAATCTTAGCGATCCAAAGAAACATGATAAATGATCATTCAGAATCTAAATATGCTGTCCCTCCCCTTTAAAAAAATGAAAGGAGCTTATTTTCGCTGAGAACCAGGGAACTTGCTGTATTAAACTACTATAGGAGTTACAATGTTTTACCTTCTGGTAAGACAAACCCCTACATATTTATTTTTGTTTGTTTCTTGAGACAGGGGCTCCCTATGTTACCAAGCTGATCTTGAACTCGGTTCCTCCTGAATGCTAGGATTACAGCTGTTGTCTACCACATCCGACTAAAACTGCTTATTTACGAAGTCTGAAAAGATCATTTAGAATTTATCACTTCTTTTAAACTTCAACACTTAAGGTGTTGAAAATACCCTAAGTTTGGAAAGCATTTAAGCTATCAGCAACTAGAAAATGTCTATAAAGTTTGCAAAGCATTCAAATCACTGACTCTTACTATTTCTGCCTTTATCGTTTAATATGCCTTTCAGGATGCTGAAACACAGGGTCAGAATCCCGATTCACTGTCTTGGCGTGATCACAAAGCCCAACCGACTTAAGAGTCAGCTTGGCTCTTTTTGGGGGATAATACCTGGCAGAGGTGTTACGTAAGAATTAAAGGGGGCTATACATTTTACTGCCTAAGTGCTCAAAAATGCTAAAGTAAGTAAGGGTCTCCCCAAAATACACTCCTTGGTGGTACGATAAAGAAGCTTAATTACAAATTGCAACTACCAAACTCCAGCCACACAGTAGTTAGGTGCGCGGCTTGACCTCGAGCCTATTTAATTTCCCGTTAAGAGAGAGCAAAGGCCGCTGCAAGGCAATTTGCACTAGACACTCACCTGGCCAGCACCTGCTCCCCTCTCGGACTCTCCCCACCCCATCCCGCTCTGCCTGACCCTGCAGCAGAAGCAAAGCCGCTTTCCAAGTGAGGAGCCAGAACAAAGCGTGCTTCCCGTCCTTCCCGTCCTTCCCGCTGAGCTCGCCCAAGGCACCGGGTCAGCTTCACTAACGGGATCCGGTCCCGGGCGGAGCCCCGCGCGCCCCGGTGCCACCTGTGCTTTTTTCAGGCCCGGGGGCCACCACGCGGTGGAAGTTACCTGGTTCGCCATGTCCACCAGCTCGGGTTTAAGCCGCAGACGTCCGGGATGAGCTGCTAGGGACCCGGCTGTGGGCGGGATTGCGCAGGGCTGCGCGGGGCGGAGCTTGGTGGTGCGGGGGGAGGGGGGCGGGATTAGGACCGGAAGGGCGGGATTAGGACCGGAAGGGCGGTGCCGGAGGTGGGGCTCGGCCCCGCGCATTGGTTGCCAGGTGGAATGGTTTGGAAGGTTGGTTGAGGTTTTGCGCGGTTTCGTGTTTCTGCCACAGACCGCCTTGCCTCGTCGCTGCAAAGCATCTCCCACGTAATTTTAGACTCTTGATGACAGATAGGGTTTAGGAATGAGAGCTGTGGAAGGTGAAGAAACGGGAATTTCACTGGAAGCATGAGAGAAACAGGCTCCCGCCATCCGTGTGCTCCGTAGGCAATGCTCCCTGCTCTTCTACCTACTTGTGTGCTTGGGGGACACAGGATGAGTTAGATAGGGGAGGCAATGTGAAGAGAGGAAACCAAGCTGTAAGACTCAGTGGTAAAGGGAGCACAGGACGGGGGTGGGGGCATTCTGGAAACTTCCCAAGCTCCCCTTCTAGCGGCCCTGACGGATAGGTAGGATTTCAGGGGACCACGAGACACCCGGAGGGAACTTTGCAAGGAGGGGGTGAGGCAGGGAGAAGCCTCGCAGTGGAACCCAGGGGAGAGAGAGGGTGGAGTTTTGTTAAAATGGCTCCAGCAGACACACCACTTACCTCAGTACACACCTTAACGGGGTGTGATCTCAAAGATGTGTTCAAAGTCCTGTTCTTCTCCATTCTCCACACAATGGCTTTTAAGATTTAATTATATAAGAATGACTGCCAGATTATTGTCTCCAGTCAGGATGGCGCTCCTGAACTCCATGCTTGAATGCACAGCTGCTTACTAGATGTCTGTCTCTACTAGGAGATGTTTCTTATGGGGTAATGGAAAGAGCCTTCTATATAACTCCCTTGCTGCTGGAACCCTGAATGTAATGAGTGTCTAAATTAATGCTCCTTTTGTGATCTTTCTATGACATACATTGATCAATACCATTTCCTCTCTGCCACTCAAAATTTTTGAGTAACTTGAGTTACAATCAAGTGGCGTTATTTTGTTTAAAAATCTTTATGGGCTAAGATATAAAATCCACACTCTATAGCTAGACCAGTCAGATTCCGAGTAACCTCATTCTGTTTACCTCTCTTCATATTTCCTGCTGTTCTGCCATACAAGTCTCACACCAACCTTATGGAATAACTGTAGATCTGTAAAAGGACTCGTTCTTAGTTCTAGGCCTTATACTTCTGCTTGGGATGCAGGAAGCAATTTCTAGTGCAAGAAGTTTTAGGAAAGAGTTAATTTTCTCTATTGCAGATAATACTGTTTATCTTGGAAGAGAATGTTGCATTTTTGTAGTACCTGGTTTCACAATAATGTGACATCTGGTTTCTGGTCTGATGTGTAAAGGGATTAGAAGTTATCACTCCAATTAAAATCTGAACAAACTGAGAAATTAAAAATTCTTAGATATGTAAGAGAGTTGAGGTACAGGGAAAATTGCCCCAATTAGAGTGACAGATGAATACATAGAATCATAATTTACCACAGTAGAAACCTATCACCGCAGGAACCAGTACTGGAATAGGAAAACCTAAACAGTAATTGATGAATTGTTAGAGTTTTACTGTGGTTTAGTCTGAATTAAAAACTCAGGAGCACCTAGTCATGGGGGAGGAGTTGCTCTGATACTTGGTGAGTTTTATGTTCATGAGTTCTCACATTGAAGATGGGAGAAAATTCCCTAGCAGGACTAGAAAAGTAACCATTTTAGTTTGTGCCAGAATATTCTGTTGATAACAAGGTTTCCCCTTGGATTACTTTACCAGTGCCAAACTTAGCATGGATTTTTGTCTGTGCTTAACCAATGTGGGAGAAGGAAGGTACCCAACTTCAGTTCTTTCTAGCCATCCTGTACCACAGGATGGGGATGAAACAAGGGGAAAAAACCAGCAAGAAGAACTATAAACTTCACAGTCTAGAGGCTCACCAAAAGACTTGATCAAATTATAGAACTGTAGAATTCCTCCACTTCTCCTATACTTTACTGTTACTAAAGTCCAATTTATTGCAGTTCCTTTTATCCAGTGTATTATGTCTACTTTTCAATTAAAAAAATTACAAGGCACACTACAAGGTGAAATAGCTCAGATGGACAGAGTAAACATCAAAACCACACTCAGCATGGCAGGGATGTTGGCATTATTAGATCACACATTTAAAACAACTATGATTAATATGCTAGGGTGTTCTAATGGAAAAAGCAGGGAAACAGTAAAAACAGATGGATAATACAAATTAAAAATTTCTGCTCCATGGAAGACAATGCCAAGAGAAAAGACCAGCCATAGACTGGGAGAAAATAGTTGCAAAAGTCGTGTCTGATAAAGGACTTACACAGAACACTTAAAGAACTCTTAAAATTCAACAATAAGAAAACAAACTGATTTATAAATTGACAAAAGACCTGAAACTTACTCACCAAATGAGAAATACAGATTGCAAATAAGCACATGAAAAGATGTTCAACACCATATAGCATTAATTGCAAATTTAAATAACAATAAGATACCACTAGATGCATATTAGGCCAATTTCTAAAACTCTTTTATCAACATCACATACTAGTGAGGATGTAGAGTTATAGCAACTCATTTGTTGCTGGTCAGGTTGCAAAATGGTGCAGACACTTTGAAAGACAGATTGGCAGTTCCATACAAAACTAACTGTACTCTAATGGCATGGTGGTGCTGAGATTGGGAGGATCATGGTTCTGACTAGATGGATAATAGAAATTATATTTTCCAAATACAGATCACAAAACAGGCATAGCAGCAACATACAGAAGAATTGGGGAACTTCAACCTCCTGACACCATTTGTAAGAGAACCTTTGTTAAACCCTTGACCCATCTTTCTGTCCACTTCATCTAGCAGAGGAGAGAGGAAACAATAAGGAAATCTATTAAGTTCTCCTTAATTCAGACCCTTCAGATTTTGAACTAAAGGACTTTTGAAAGTTAGCCATCACTGTGTCTAAAGTCAAGTAAGTGTACACCAGACATTATCAAACAGATTTCAAAAAGTTGAAGCCTATCTCATAAACATCGCAAGAAAGAGAAATTAAGGACTTGAAGAATTTATGAAACCTTAAGTATATACTGATTTTGAGGGGAATTGGCTTCTTTCTCCCTACCTCTAGAAAACATTGCTTGGGATTTACTTCATCAGAGAGGCAGAGAGCTATTGCCATAATTCCCCATAAATTGGAACAAGAAACTGTCTATACTGAGAAAAATAGCCACCAATGGGCTGAATATGTGGGAGCCAAAAGTGGTTTGTACTAATTCTATCAAATACTGAGAATCTATACTGAGAGGTACCAAAGTGACACATCAAATTCTTTTGGAAAAAAAAACACACATACAGATGGAATAAAGAGAACATGGGTATCTATCCATCTATCTCTCCTGTTTTTTTTTTTCTTTTGGTGTTACTGGTTTGGTCTCAGAGCTTCATGCTTGCAAGGCAGGTACTCTACTGCTTGAGCCATGCCTCCAGCTCCATATCTTTTCCTTTGGGAAAAGGAAAAGATACTTTGGGGATTGACAGCCTTAAAATATGCAGGGTATAATTTTATGATTAAATGTGCAAAGCATAGTTTTATGATTAAATATAGTAGGAAATTAGACTTTTCATATTGTTTCAGTTTTGGCTAAGAATTCAAGACCATGCAGCATAGGTGCCTAATTACACCTACATTGTAAGGCAAAGTGCTAGGCTACTTATGTAGTACTTGTTAAAAGATAAATTGCTTCTGCCAGCATTAGCTTATTTCCTGTTTCTGATTTATATAAGAGAAGATAAAGAATTCACAGGGAAGAGTAGATACATTTGGAACTGAGGATTTCTTAGGAGAGAGTTGTCAGTGTGCTATAAATGTACTGTCCACCTCCATAGTGAGGGTGTGGAAATTCTTCTTCCTTAACGAAAGTCAGGAGAAGAAAACCACACAGAAAATTTGACATGTTTTCTCTGCAATCCAGAAGACTTAAGGTGTTGTATCTGAAAGAAAACAAAAAACAAATTAAGGCAAGGGCTTGATGAGAACAGTCTGGTATTCAGACTGTTGGTATTCTGTATTGGTAGAATGAAGTGGAGCAGAGTTTAGCGGATAAGGATACAAATGTATTTTCTGTGGACCAAATGTGGACTTTGGAAAGGATATAATTGTAGATCATCTTGAACTTCACTAAAGAAGTCCACCTGGGCAGGCAAGGTGGTCCTAGTGTAAGCTGAGGTCTAAGGCTGAGTTTGGAATGGGCAGTTACGGAAAGAATCATCCCTGTAAAGGAATTGCAGGTAGGAAATTCCCTGCTCAAAAAGGAATGCAGTATTTAAAAGGCACTACACCAGAAGAGCACTAATACCAGATTGCAATTGTGCTGGCCATGTGAAATGTAATATTTTCCTCCAAGCTTCCCCTCTCTTCTACATGACAGTTGAGGAAACTTGGAGCAGTGTCTGGCAATGGTGGAAGAGTTGGAATAGGGAAGCCAGAAGAAGCAAACCCTTCACCCTTTCCTCCACTTAAGATTTCCCAGTTGGAGGCTGACCTGAGTTGGGAGAAGGGAGAAGTTCTTAATTGGGCAAAATATTGCTTTAGATGTGTCGAAGGAATTTACTGGAAGAGCTATGGAATATGCCCAAGATTTTACTCAAGTCAGGATTAAAAAAAAACAAACCCAAATGAGTTCATACAGTAAGTCTGTGCTGGATATTTTTATTATTTTAATGCTTGACATTAGAGCATCTTTCTCATATTTGGAGAGTTCTCCATCTTATAGGTCTGAAAATATTTCCTTGCAACTATAACTCAGACTCTACCAATCAGAAGTGCATGTCTAAAACCTCAAATTGAAAGTTCTGGACCTCAGAGGGATACTCTGGTGAAAGCAGTAGTTGTAATTATGATCCACTTCAAGGCAAGCAATGGCAACCAAGCCATTGGTGGTATC